TAGGCTTAGGCTTGGGCTTAAATCGTTTCATTAAGTCTTCTAGTAGATCCTGTGTTCCATCACCAGCAACGTCTTTGGGAAATTCATTCTAAAAGAAAACAATAAAGCTATTGAAATACCCTTGTACGATAAAAAATTACAAGTACGAAGACTAACCATTTTTGTCAGCGCATACAAGTCAGCGTTATTTTCAACCAATAATTCACATATATCAGCTTGTTCCCAATGAGCAGCGGCATGCAATGGCGTCCAGCCCTCAAAATCAACAGCATTTACGTTCACTTTAGCTGCTAACAGAATCCTGGAAGAATTGATTGATAATGTTAAGCTTCATGTAGTTTAAACAATTGATATAATATATCATTATCCATACATACTTAACAACTTCCTTATATCCTTTTGCTGAAGCAACATGAAGTGCTGTTGCGCCTATAATTTTATACGCATCAATTAGAAGCAGAGAAATACTATTTATGCATTAATATTTCAAATACGCTATTGCAACTAGGCTACAGTAAAGGATCCATTTGTAAGATATAACATACAAAAATTACGTAGAAAATAATTTACCAGTGCGGTCATCTATTAAATCTTCCAAAGTTCCATTTTTAATTTTATTAGCATCTTCTAACATTTTTCTACTTTCTATATCTCGTACTAGATTCAGGTTTAAACCTACAACAGTAGTTATCCGTTCAAAAATTTTGTTATATTACTTTAGCGTACAAATAAATATGTACGTATTATATCTAAATTGAAGTCATAATCGATTGATTAAAGAGTTGAGAAACAACTTCAAGTAGAGAATTGATATTAGTGAAACTCACTGACCTCGTTTTTCAACTTCTAATCTCAGCAATTCTTCCATTTCCTCACCTTCCGCTACATCTATAGCTGTTTCACCATCAACAGTTACTTTACTTATATCGGCTTTATGCTCTAGCAAATAACTGAAAAAGAACAACCTCTCAAATAAAGCAAGTTTCGTCAATATGTAACTTAAATTTATGGTAAGATTGATAAGGCAAAAGAATTCGATTGTAGATGTGTAATGCTTTTGAGTATAAAATTTATATTTTTTCTATGTTATCATAATAAAAAGGTTTTTATTGGGATATAAAAGAGATGAATAAGATTATTCTTTTATTTTTGAAGTATCACAAAGTAGTTTTTACCGAGCAATATCAATGTGGCCCAAACTTGATGCAGCGATTAACGGCGTCCAACCTTCAAAGTCACAAATATTTACATCGGCACCATTTTCTACTAATAGCGAAACCATTTCATCATTCCCATCCATACAACTCTGATTAGGTAAAAAATCGATGTTGAGAATTAATCACAGTATTCTCATAATCTATATAAGCTTAGGTTAACACAATGGAGGTTTTGAGACGATAAAACTACAGTATTACTATTCCTAATATAATATAGTAGCTGTTTGCAGTACATTATTGTATACGCGTATCATGATGTTATTAGGCGAGACACAATAGTTAAGCAATGATTAATTATGCTTACTAAATCACTTAGTATCATAACGCGTTAAAATCACGCACTACATAGTTATAACCTTGAGGTCTGAGTAATTACTGTTTAAATGGATAATGTGAAAAGTCTATGTATAAAGTTTTGCAGAGTATAGCACAGATTTCGATACAACTTTGCCATCAATAAACTATATTTCATAAGCCATTACAGTAGTGTTCCTAAGTTCTACCATCACGCTATGTTTCAAGTAGTCAATTTGCGAAGATGATACCTTTAGCATCTACTAAGGCTAACGATGCTGCAATACATTACAAAGCAATAGTGAGTACCGTGCATAATGGCTATTCAGGTAAAAAAATAGTATTAATGCCCTGTATGATAGAGCTATCGCATCTAGTGGTTCATGCCTGTATTATGCATTACAAGAAATTTTGAATAATCCGCGCCTGTATGCAAGTTTTCCTTGAGGTAAGAATTTGTATAATCAGTTCAAATAAGTGCGTCGTTCGATATCGCAGATCTGATGGAAAATTTTTATCACTAATGGACAATGATCGCGTAAACTGTTATTTTGCTATTGATATTGCACTGTCTTGCAATAGAAGTAAGCGTCAAATTTTACGCGTAGTATTCGCATCGTGAGTGATCTTGATGCGGTTTTGAGCTTCAATATCCAGAAATTAGATATACAAAGTTCTTCTGTGATAATGTGGTATACTACATTTTAGGAAAACTCTACTAAATTATAACTCTGCATGACCTGTGGCATTAAAATCACGTTACTGCATACTTGATTACTTTTTCTAATGCATCACTGCGTTAAAATTATCCTCCATTCTGCAGTAACGACACAAATTCAGCCTAATTTTTTTTGTTCTCTGTAGGTAACTTTGTCGGCACTTTACTGTATATATACACTCTGCATTGTCTTCATATAATTTGCATTAGCATTACTGTAATTTATTGCAAGTACAATGAAAAACTAGTGATAACGGCGACTTTTCAAGATCCGAAAAAAGAGTTATTTCATGTTAGTAGCTTCTAATGATATTCATAATTTTGACCAATATAAAAGCCTATAACCTTGACAAGGTGTTTTGTTTAATAACGTGACCATTTACATTTCACCAAGGGCGGTCTAACAAGGGTACAGAAGTGGATGCACTACAGGGCTACAAGTTCATACTGAGTGATCCACTCTAATCTACCTGTAGGAATTGTAAACTTTCCTACGGTTTATCCCTTACATGGACGTCCTTACTATGGACTTGTACAATTACCAATTCCATAATGATTACAATTTTACTGCTAGAATCCCACTACACTGCAATATCCTTACCAACGATACAATCACAACCTAATGAATTGTGTGGACATATATGCTTATGAAGTATGATGATTTGATAAGGATCTACAGTTATACGAATAACCTTGAAACAGCGATGGTGGCCAAATCTAACTGTAGATAATTAATTCATTATCATTGTTGCATCCTATCCATTAGTACGAGCGTTTAATACTAAACTTACGAATAAAAGCATGAAGATAGAACAATTTGTATGTTAATTACTCCAGCTAACATGATTCACGTATACTAATTAGCGGTATTTAGGTCTAAAATATACGGAAGAAGAAAATTCGGCGACTCTAACCGTCAATAATGACACTTTCCAACATGAATAGATGTCGAGGATGCAAATGGATTCTAATTTTGGATGATCTATGCTACTAAGTAAGCGTTTAGTATACGCGTACAGTGTAATTCATAAATTTAATCCATGAATTAATGAATGCGATCTGTTTACGCTAGCAATATCGTACTTTTACGTCATGGAAACGGCTTTTGATGTGGATGTTTATGTCAGTTGTAGTCATGACCCATTTTCACAGCAAATTTGGTAAATAAAAAGCTTTCCTAAACTACTGTATCGGTATGAATTGAAGCCTATGATACCTTCCGGAATAATGTATTGTATTGATTAATTAAATATCAATTGTAAAATTACATAAGGATCCTCTCACTGTTTAATAAGTTATCCGTTGTTTACGACGGTAAAATGTAACGATAGTAGTAAGATATTGTGTGACCTTGCCGACTGGACCATAAAATTAAATTTGTTACTCAACAACAACCTACTAAGGCAATTTTAAAAATTGTTCTCCTATGCTGCTAAGCGGTGTTTATGCTAACTGCCTCATCAATGATTATTCATTAATCAAAATTTTGGTTGATAGTAGCAATATAGATGATAACAAAGGCTTACTAAATAACTCTGACTTCAAGAGTAAGCGTACTTGGCCAATGGTAAGCAGACTCTCATTTGAAAGAGCAATCGATTAGACTAATCGCATTCTAATCTGTTGAAATCGCTGCTCAAGTGCCAACATCAATACGAGACGAACAGATATACAGTATTTGCTTTTTGTACAGTCAGTATTTTTAACATTGTGCGTACTTTTGAATCAAGCAACTAATCCAGCAGAAAGGGTGAAAGTCAATGGAAATAAAATACTTGACTGTACATGCGAATATGATTTTTAATTCGATTCATTCTCGTCATCATGCCAAACTTTAACTATAATGCAGTGGAATCATAAAACAACGATTATCATTTAGTATCGTCTTTCGATCTGTTATTTTTCAATGCAGTCATGAACCGTTTTTGAAGCAATGGTAGAGACAAACTCGAATACAAGTCGACGAAATGATGGAAAGGCTGCTAAGTCGTGGTTGTTTTCATGGCATTGACTTCAAAATCTCTACGTATTGGTCATGCATTGATGTAGTAACTTGATCAAGCTATATAAAATGATCGAAACAAGGGGATTTCAATAATCAACGACTACAACAGTATCAACAAATAGTGATGCAGTCTAGTACTCGAGAGAGTAACTGGTTGATTGATTGTTATAGGAAAAGTTTAACGTCTGAATAGAGTTGTATCATTGAAAGTGTATTTTCAATGCTATTTTTTCCCTTAGAAAATTAACATTCTATCTATGATCGCATTGATGAAAGAACTTTTGAAGGTGATTTCACGCTTGAAAGCATGCCCAAAAGAGTAGGAAATGAGCGTGCCTTTTTTTTTCAACATGTCGAAAAAGAGTTGAGAGAATGCCATCCACTTTACTGTAGGAAAACTCCCTCTAAACTCATGGATGACAGTCATTTTTTTGGGGGGGGGAAAAGAGAGAATTCGTTCCATTTAATGCAATGATAATCGATAGACTCTCTATCAAGCATGATGGAGGCTATAGTGTACAAGTAGACATGATTTAAAAAACATTTTCTCCACGCCATTTGCAAGGTTTCCCCCCCCAAAAGAAAGAATATGAGCAAGACGAATGGAGTTGTTTTGTATAGAGCTACCCTGGTGCGACTGGATAATATAGTGCAATGTATACGCCTGGACGGTCTGGTATGGTGGCATAGAGCGACTTTTCAGCGGTAACCCAGGGGCAAAATACACTCACGATAGGATTAGCGGCGTCGTTGGTGTCTTGGACGCTTAACATAGGGTACTGTCTTGCTCATGTAGCCTGTCCAATACTGAAAGGTGTAATCGAGTCGAATGGTTGATGTCGTTACCAAATGTGCCATCACCATCAACGCGCATTGGTGGCTTGGCCTGTAGAATAGCGGTAGCGTGACTAAAGGTAATTTGCACGTTGGATCAGAATGAACGAGTCAAGTGGACTCTTTCCTTCTTGATCATCTTGTCAAGACCTTGTTCTACTTGTCATTTGATCCATCAAGGCGCATTGGTGGCTTGGCCTGTAGAATAGCGGTGGCATACTAAAGGTAATTTGCACGTTGGATCAGAATGAACAAGTCAAGTGGACTCTTTCCTTCTTGATCATCTTGTCAAGACCTTGTTCTACTTGTCATTTGATGCTATCAAGTATTGCAATGATTGCTTGAAAGAGCCCTATCGTCGAAGAACATCGACGATTGAAAGGGCGCTGGAAGGGGGGGGTTAACTAATCAACACGAAAGTGTATACCGTATTACGATACAGATGAGTCTTGTCCTAGTCATGCTACTCAAAATAGACTTGGATCGCTATACGAGAACGTGTATTGAATGCTATTATCATCCACGTCATACTGACCTGATGGAGGGCGGTGAGGCCGTCATTATTGCAGTAATCAATGTCAACGCCTTGTTTAAGCAATCGCTTGACTTCGGTCTCATCGAAAGCGCTAACAGCAGCAAAAAACATAGTTCCTAATCCAAATTTAATTTTACTACGACGCGATGATTTAATGGTATTGGATTCCTTATTGGTATCGCTATTCTCCCATTCTTTTAATTGTTCCATTCGTCGCAAGAGGATACTCCTCTTATCGTTGCTGCCACGTAGCGCCATCTTCCTCAACGATGATGATTGAAAATAATAATACAATCTCGATGATGGACACGCTAGACACACCAATAGTACTTGGATTTTTCAACTCTGAATCACTTGTATCGTTGAAAGTAGTGCAAGGGCCGATCGTCTGTAGATCAGGTGGTCGATTGGGCACGAGACGTCCACTGTACCACCTTGTTTGCTTGAATAAATAACCTTGACAAATTTGACTGATGTCCTATTGATGCAAATACCACCTTAGCGAGGTTCTTTTTAATGTCTTGATTGACGATTTCCTTGCAATAATCAATGCAATCATCAAGAGTGTACAGTCCACTAGCCAAGCAGCTACAGTACTATCCACCATGTCTACAGTTCGCACTGTAGCTTGTAGCGTAGGAAACGTTGTTGCTGGCGCAACGCTTTTCGTCCTTGCCATGGATTTGCAGTGAGTGCAGTATACTATCTATACTGCACAGTATTGTAAAAGGGATAATGGCATGCATGCTTACACGATCAACCTTACCAACCCTCGAGCCATTTTATTATAATCAACTAATGAACCCTTTGGCGAAGTCATTTGCATACTGGATACTTTACCTCTATGGGACGACGCTAAACACGACAGTACAGAGATTGTACTACTGTATACTGTGTACTGTACACTGTACACTCAGTGGACAGTCGACGCTACTGACTGTACTATACTGTACGATAGTACTGTAGTGAGTGCAGTACCTTGCCAGGCCTTCATGGTTCGGTCTGGGTCCGGCCGGACTCTAGTTTACCGCACGGTGTGGTCAGAGTACGCTGAGCCTAAAGGTTAACAACTCTAGCTTTACTTTTACCTCCAAAGTAGTTTTAGTTTATCTTATTATGAGTTCACTAAGGCTCCATGACTCGTTAATAACTCTAGCCTTACTTTTACCTCTAAAGTAGTTTTAGTTTTTCTGACCATGACTTCATCAAGGCTCCATGACTCGTTAACAACTCTAGGCTTACTTTTACCTCCAAAGTAGTTTTAGTTTTTCTTATTATGAGTTCACTAAGGCTCCATGACTCGTTAACAACTCTAGGCTTACTTTTACCTCTAAAGTAGTTTTAGTTTTTCTTATTATGAGTTCGCTAAGGCTCCATGACTCGTTAACAACTCTAGCCTTACTTTTACCTCTAAAGTAGTTTTAGTTTTTGTGACCATGAGTTCATCAAGGCTCAATGACTCGTTAACAACTCTAGGCTTACTTTTACCTCTAAAGTACTTTTAGTTTTTCAAACCATGAGTTCATCAAGGCTCAATGACTCGTTAACAACTCTAGCCTTACTTTTACCTCTAAAGTACTTTTAGTTTTTATGACCATGAGTTCATCAAGGCTCCATGACTCGTTAACAACTCTAGCCTTACTTTTACCTCCAAAGTAGTTTTAGTTTTTGTGACCATGACTTCATCAAGGCTCCATGACTCGTTAATAACTCTAGCCTTACTTTTACCTCCAAAGTAGTTTTAGTTTTTCTTACCATGACTTCATTAAGGCTCAATGACTCCTTAACAACTCTAGCCTTACTTTTACCTCTAAAGTAGTTTTAGTCTTTCTGACCATGAGTTCATCAAGGCTCAACGACTCCTTAACAGCTCTAGGCTTACTTTTACCTCTAAAGTAGTTTTAGTTTTTGTGACCATGAGTTCATCAAGGTTCAATGACTCGTTAACAACTCTAGCCTTACTTTTACCTCCAAAGCACTTTTAGTTTTTCTGACCATTAATTCATGAGTGCTCAATGACTCAATGACCGTGCCCAATATTAACTAGCGTCGTCACGGGCAGGCGGGCTACGTTTGCCAAAGAATATCTTAGCAGTTGACAACTTTTTCGTCTAGTAACTTATACAATTCATCCTTATATCACTCCAATTAGCATTGGATACTGATTAATTATTATAATAATATACATTAAAAGTTCATATTGGCGTAAGACGAGGTGAATGAATAGTCTTTTTCAAACTGACCGAATTTCCCTAACGTGCCCCATTTTTAATGACACTAATCCACTCTCCGTTAGCAGTCCTATCCTAGTAGCCACTACTAAAGATATTTGAGCAGTTCACGGTAAAGCAATTCAATGTTGGAATTGAAGTTCATGGACAGATGCAATCCAGTTAAATTACAATATACTACGCCAGCATACAGGGATAGCTTCAATGTGGGTAAACTGGCATTTTATTTCCATCATTTGGATGATAATATATGTAAAAATCGGCGTAGCTTATTACCATGACTGACTGTGGCTGAAGGCTGTCTTGCAAAGCCAAATAGGATAGATGAAAATTGGCTATGCAAAGACTGTTCACTGCAAGAGAGTTTATTGGGCACGGTGAAGACTTTGCTTTCATCGAGCCAAAATAACAAAATTAATACGAATGCTATCTACAGGTTGGAAGAGACAAATGACAGCCTATCAGGATGGCGTAACCAAGCAAAAGGTTCTCATGATGCGCACGTATATCATGTCGTTGCACTAGGCGAAAGAATAGTGGACACTAGAGAACTCTTCTATCGAATACAATATAAAATCGGCCATGATGAGCTTTTCGACATACAAGATTAATCCAGTCAACTGCGCTCATCTTAGTTCAAGAAATGGGTGTAGTTGTAAAATAACTCATCAAGACAAAGCTGTAAATCCATTTTCTTTATAATATCCAACGACTAGCAAATCAACTGGTAAATACGAGTAAGTAAATAAACAGATTAATGAATACGGTATGTCAAAAAGAGCAAATAATGTGCCAGGAGATAATCAACTACAGACACGTTGTTTGAAGGCATTTCCAACCCTTGAAAATCGATATATAGATCTAATCAATGTATGCATTATTCATTCTCCATACTTAATACAATGTTGTAGGTTGTCGCAATGGCATAGGTAGACGGGAATCACGGGATGTAAGAGTAGGATAAAAATTGGCATACGCCTACGTAAAGTTTACCATCATTCACTTGGAGATGCTGTAAGCAAGTTGATAAAGATGGCTTATTCTATCAATGATAATAAGTCAATCTAATGGTGCCGCAAAGAATTAAAACAAAATTATCCACAATAAACATCAGATCGACATCCATTTAACAATGGATGATACACTATTATTGATGAGAACGATTGCAATGACTCATAGTCTAAAGGTCTAAATTAAAATGGCCTTAGCTGAAATGAACCAGGTAGGATGTCTAATTTAGACGATGGATAGCTATACAATGTTCTCAAAAACCATGGCTATGTCGTCAATAAGGATTGTAGTATGTTACATGTACGCAGATCATCTTGTGGGATATACGTACTAGTAGGTATGCCAATCAAATAGATAAAAATAACTTATCAAAACAAGCCATTTTGCTGCATTATGGTACTGTAGCCAATGTTAATGAGCACAAAGTTAATTAATTAAATCATTGTCACCGCTTGAATAGGTAATCGTTGGTAGTGCAATAGAATAAATCCAAAGAATAGTACGCATTAGTCTACAGGATGATACAATTTTAATTCACTTTATATAGAGAATGAATTTAAGTGAACCTCCAAAAGAAGATGAAATTACAAACAATATCATGCCTAATGACAGGATTTGAGGGAACATCCTAATTGTTAATAATCACGCTGTCTATATAGAGTAGCTAGTACTTTGTAAACTTGACTGTCAACACTTGTTGTAATGGATAGAATAATTTATTTGATTTCTATTCTATCATTTTTTTTTGTGACATCAATCTGTCATCCAGGATCATCGTTCAAAATAAAGATACAATACTATTCTACTCTGCAGATTAAATACCATTGGAAATAGTCCCGTCAATGATTACCTATAATTATTTTTCTTTCACATTTATCTAGGAGCCATTGCTATCTATTTTTCTCTCCCTCTTTGTTTGGAAGGCTTTAAATAAAATTCTTCTTACTATATTACCCCCCGCTTGCAGACACAATGTTGATTTAACATTCTCTCGTCATAGCAACCGGGTCAATAACGCCCAGCCTCTGATCACTCGAATTAATATTGAAAGAATAGCTGTTGTATAAATGAAAAAGAACGGATAAACAGCGTCTACATGCTTGAATACGCTTAATCTATTGATAGAAATAAACCTTATTGCATGAAATGCTAATAGAATAAGATTTGAATTAATTTCTCTCCTGTAAGTAACCAACGTTATCTTCCTCTACGTTTTATGATGACTAAGTAAGGTTACATTTTGAACCAATTACCGCAAGTAGTACAATGTAAAAACCTTATGCTAATTGAAAAAGGATTACTTTAATTAAATCAAGCAGATAGTACATTGTGCAATCGAATTTAGTGCTTGTATTACTCAATTATAATTCACGTATTTGATCGAACCAAAATCTTGGTCAGCATGAGATTTACAGTTTCACTCCACAGTCGAGTAAAACTGTTATTATTGCAAGGGTTATTATGTTGCATTAATCTTTTAATATCATCATTATAGAAATGTTGTCAGGCTATATACACAATAAGGAAGCCAATTTTGAATAGGGATAGCAGCGACCAGTTGTTATTGTGTAAAATAATTATTATCTTTGTTAGGGCAGTAACATAGATCCATGATAACCATATAAAAAGTATACTGTTACAGAAGTGTTATATCTTGTTGATCGTACAGCGCTAATTTTGAAAAGGAGATAGAAGGATTTAGTTGTTATTGTAGGTATTTTAAATTTTTGTATTTTAACTAGATAATCTTAATGTATGTTCTAGATACAGTAATGGAATGACGTTTTTTCCAGCTGATCGAGTATTGAATTCATGGCATAACAAGTATATCCAAATAATCTAATAGGATCAACAGACAAACTAAAAATACGCCTGAATGATATGCAGTCCTTCTAATAAATAGTTAAGATTCAACACGTATATTAAATAACACAGTTAACCCATACACAAATAAAATTAAATTTCTTATATATCCACAACTAGTGATTAATTTAGTTAACGAAGGTAGTTAACTTATAAGTAAATAATTCGATTCGTAATTAAGATCCCGGTCATATATGGTCAGTCTGTGATAAAAGGTCTCTGCTACACATTTCAAATTGGGTTGCGTCTATTAAATCGTGTTGCATTCGCTTACTTTACCCTCAGGTCTACTCTATTTATTTTATTTATTTCACTAGCTCGGTAGCTATGTAAAATCCTAATTAACTTCAGTTAATTAATACATTTCTACGATTAAAGCAATAACCAACCTATCATGATTCTTGTATTCATTATAACGTAATCCACATTAATGCAAGTATAAACCGAAAATTATTTGCCCACATTTATATATGAAATGTCTATATTAGTTGATTGCCTTACGCTTTCTTCAAGCTTTAAAAGTTATTAGGAACTAAGAAATCAATCGATAATTGATGTAAACATCGGTATTATCACTCCTTTTTATTGTACCTCTCTATGGTTAATAAATTAAAAATCTTCATCTTTCAAAATTAAATCAATGAAAGACCAGTAGTTAAATTCCCTTCCCCATTACAGCCATAACGGTCAGATTAATGTAGGAATATCTGTTACTGCTGGAAGGGAAGTAAAGGATAACCGGAATTTTCATAGTTACTATGCTATTCTGTCAAAATTTCAAGAGTCCATATGAGCGAATTGTGTGAAAATTGAGTCGTACTATACACTTTATAATCGTAGGAAATAGCGATAGAATCTTTCATGCTATAATAAAGCATTCTTTGCTTTCGTAGCATGTATTATACACAATAAGTTTAACTTTAATACTCCGGATTGCTTTACTTGAAAGATTCTGTTTGCTACTAATATCGACAGATTTGTATTACTATTATTTATTGGTTGACATTAATGTTAACATAATGTTTAGCATAATTGACGATTGGCATTGGAGAAGAAATGCTTTTGTCTGTTACTGTTATTGATTTAACTCCGTTGTCGGTCCACCTATGCCAACTATGCATATATTAAACATGGCTGTCCTTTTGTTACGTAAATACTTCATTTATAGTTATTTATATCGCTTGCTTACAACCTATTTAATCGATAATTCATTAGTGGGGATACAGTAAAGACTTAGCTGTCAATCTACTGTCAAAAATATCAACCTCTTATTCTTGCCAAATTTAATGAGCTCTTGGCAGTAGCCATGGCATTAAAATGAATAGGCGATGACATTGCTAAATTAGATGAAGTGAGTAAATTAAATTACTACCTACTGACAATCTATTAGTGCGAAGATATGAAGATAGTATTAATTTTGCCTCTTGCAAGATAATATATGTATTACTAAGCAAAGATTAATGGCTAAGCTAAAATACAAATATCGCCTAAATTTGTGCAATAGTATGCATATTGAAAATCTTACTTTTTGAGTTTGTTAAAAGGCAACATCTCTATGAGCGATTGTTATGCAATTGTTGATTAATAACTAGCAATTCTATTTACATCTTCTTTATGCTATAATAAGGATCAATTTCGCCGCATTTATACCCTATATCGTATATAATCACATTATATCCCCATTACAAGTAGTTTAGAATAGCGAAGAGGATCTCGTATGTAAGAATAAATGGCAAACGTTGTTCGAAACGGATTAGCAATAGTGACAATCAATAGGCCAGAAAATATGATACTAAAGTTATAGTATAAAGTGTATCTTGTTGAAACCTAAACAATAATTATGAATGAACCTAGGTAACTAGTAAATTATTTACGGCCAGATAACCATGATCTAGTCAAAACAAGTATGACTGTGTGATCAGATAAAATACTGGTTTAATCTATCTAGTAAGGTATCTACTAAGTTCGTATATGTATAATCTTACCAACGCAGCTTTAGTACCTTAAATAGTCCTACTGCCCACTAAAATAGTGTCCAAAGTAGATTTTACTATAATAGAATACGCTCTTAGTGCTAGATCTTATCAATCACATATCAACAATAGATGAGATAAGATTAACGTTTTAATATGCTCTAGTCTTTATTTCTATGCGTTCACATGTACAGCTTTTGCTATATATAGACATTAGCTTGCTTTCTTTAAATGCTACAACATGGATACTGCTTGTAATAAAGTATTCTAAGTATCCTAATTTATCAAAATAAGCACTTCAAAGACGATAACAACATAAATCACAAACTTAGTAATAAGAAGTATCGCAATTCTATTGCTAATAGATTATGATCATAGATCATTAAAATATTTACTATATTCAAATGCTATCTTCTAAATTGTACGAAGCAATCCAAGAATAAGCCAATAGGCATTCAATAAATTAAAGCTGCAAGACAAAATAAAAATACAACAGCATCGCGCCTTCATAAGGTAGAATATCAAATAATGTAGCATGCTGTTGGACGTACGATATCTCTAAAATAAAGACACATAAACTATAATAGATGAAATATTGAACTGAGGACATGCTTTCTTCAGACAATTACAGGTTGCTATATTTTCATATCAGGAAAAATTTTTTCAACTAGCTAATTTAACTAGATCCATTAAATCGATATTTGGAGTCATCCATCACCTTCAAAGTAGCATTAACATCATAGCCTTACAAAATGTGGTATAAGTCGGCTAGCGTTTAATAAATAGGGCAAGTTTATCGCCTAACAATTCCTTAATTAGGCCCTACCATAAAATTACAGGAACACAGTTAAAGACAAAAGCCTAACTCGTAGGCGATAATATCTGAACAATTGCGCGTATTTTGATTGGTATTCTTTATATAATATAGATGAATTAAATTTATATTACATGATTTATCATTTCGAATCAAAGAGATTGAAATACTTACGAAATAAAAAAAGAAACACCTTAATCTGTTACAATATTATGAACTTTCGTCAATATGAGATAAAATATCATTGATAGTCGCAATTACTGGTGCTTCATTTTCAATACTGTAATAGAAATTATAATCAGCAATTATAATCAGCAATTAAATAAGAAATAATAAAAATTAGCGAACGACAAAGTTGTAATCTCACGCTACTATTTACTAAATCCTAATGTACAATTCGTTGTGATACATCCAATAATTACAACTAATTTTTAGATTTTACACCGTACTATAATACCTCTTGATTGCTTTTAAAGTCGTAATTAATTCACCACCATACAGTCTTATTGAATTGGTGTTGTTGGAGTTCGTGGTAACCTAACAATTTGCATAAATAATAAATATTTAAATTTACGTCTAAACATCCTTCCTCCGTAGGTATTAATATTAATAAAGGTAACCATTATTTCTGTAGTAGTATTCCTTACAAATCTTTTGATAATCCTGAATAAATTCTTATAATATTTCTTGGTCGAAACTTTGACAGCTTTAATTAAGAAATCCTTCACATTGATTTAATAAATAACTGATTAATTTCGTTTTAAATATGTTTACCTATATTGTAAATTGCAAACGCTTACGAAGCAACAAGCAGCTCTAAATAGCTATAACTTACAATATCATTAGCTGATAACGTCTCCTGAAACTCTCCGCCTATCAGCTGCATCGCTAAAGATAGACATCTAAGGGCCCTTTCATTTATGTTATCGCTATTGCGTGTTAGCTGAATAACAGCCACAATAAAAGAAACTGTGAGTTATCATAGAGGCTTGCCAGATTTCAAAGATAGTTTCAGTAACTAATTTGGTAAAGCATCCATTAAGTAGCAAATTTCCTTTGTGATAAACCCTTACCTCACATATAAGTGGTTTAATTAGTTTGACAGCAGGCCTGTTTGCAATTAGCAATCGTTCCGTATTTAGACAGTCTGAATTTTTTTCCTTTTCTTTTGTCTGGTAAAAAGTATCCGTTATAATATTTACTCTTTATGGTAAATACCATATATAGAGCATAACTAAATACTCCAAAGATTAATCGCTAGTAAGTACCTGTAATGCAACTCTGACTTTACCAGAAACATATTTTAATTCATGATACATAATGTCCAATGCATGTGATAAAGTCGCCATCTTTACTTCGTCATCCCTTATTATTTCATCAGCTGCATGAACCATATACGTCACGAATCCTACCAAAATATGTTTGTTTACTAACAGTGAGATCCACTTATAATTAAAAGTTCATACAGAATTTACCATTTTTAATCAGAATATCAAAAGTCTCTTGGTTCATCGGCAAGCAGTGATAGAATATATCAACGATATTATCTCGCATATTTTGACTTATATTGTCTTTATGAGCCTAAAATTAGGAATACAAGTTCTGCTATGATCACCGTACCATTTAGAATCTTATAAGCTTTACTGCTGAATAAATCTAGATTGCCAGTAATGCAGCTATGAACTCACTTCGTATACATGTAATAATGGTACCATCACATGGTGCTGATCCACAAACCTGACAAAAGAGTAAAAGAACGATATACGTTCATAGCATCCTACCAATTCCAGACTCGAAATTAAAAGGTAACTATACAATAGCAATAACTGCAATGAGTAAACGTAGAAGCTTACTTCGATGTTGATGGATACTTTTGGATCAAAACTGCCAACAGCTTAACTGCATAAGTAGGGATCGGATCTTGGTCTTTAAGAATGGCTTCGTAACTAAAAGTATATATATACCACATTTGCATATATACGAGCATTTTAGAAAGGATACACATCCAGACATTGCTTAACTATCAGATATTTATTTTGAAACTGTGTACGGCTCAAATAGTAAAAAATTTGTTGATCGATGTTTATTTATTACATGCTTAAGTCAATCAAGATATGTTTACCTCGGTAATAATTCTAGTATAATTAGCTTTTGTAGTAACTCTCTGTCAATTATACCGTATTCCTGTACGAAGACAATAAATTAATCCAATAACTTCAGTATCGAAGTATCAACATACGGTTGTACGTTTTAGATTATACTCATACCTTAGAAACGTCTGTATCATTCCATTGGTTCAAATACTGAATTCCAACTTCAGTAATTACACGCAAGCAAAGAACACGAGTATCACCTATGCATTAAAGAAATACTCGAATTCAGACTTACATGACAAGATATATTCCATAAACTTATACGCATTTTGTATAGCTTTCATGTTTACAATAAAACAATACTATAACTACCGTTAGAGCTCTCAATCAACTTTATTAAGGAGGGCATGATACTTTTGACCATCTAACGATACGAAAATGAATTTATGTAATTTATTATATCAGAATTAAGTACCCGCTGATAGTCAGCATTTATTTCAAAATGAATTGAAGTCGTGCCTTACTTGTGCATAATGCTTCATGACCAAAGTAGACTGTTGACATATAGTTAGTACCATCGACAAGACGATATGCTTAAAGTCATCATTAGCAGTGGGAGCTGCAGTAATTTTTCGAAACATAGTTTAATTACAGGAGGTTGGAAATGACATATATCAGTAAGGGTGCAAGCAAATTGTATAAAGAACCTGAAGTGGAAGATAAGCTTGTTGTCCCTTCATCGACGGAAATAACATGGCTCTAGAAGATTTTAAAATACTGTTACTTCTCGAATAATGCCAAATTTTACAATTTGGAATCTATGGCGCCAATACTATTATAGTGAGATTGATTGCTTACCAGAAGTGCTTTTAACTTCGTTAAAAAGACATCATCCGTTAATCTACTTCTGAATATCTAAATTGCAAATGAAGGTCATATCAATTAATAGATGCTTACTTTTAGATATTTGCGTATAATACGTGTGTAAGCAACCACGTTATTCTATAGCATCATACGATACTCACCTGATTCGTTAGCAAATGATGGATAACAGATAAGTAAGGTAAATTAGATTTTAATTGTTTTATTTGAGAGGATGACGGATGACGTCTTCCAGACACAACTTCCAGGATCCGCAGCACACCATCTGACTCATCAAGGAGTAGCATATTTACAGAATAGTTACACGTTAGTAAATGCTTTTAACATTTTTCAGCGCTACACAGCATGTAACGTACGATTCCAATATAAGCTGATGAATTATATAGAGAGGCTAGCGACTTTTATAAGGCAATAACTACCACTAAAAGTAACTTCATTTTAGGATTACCAAATATATTAGGAACAGCTTCCAAATATACATCAACGACACACTTTAGACATTTCAAAGCATATTGCTGTTGATCATGTAACTCGTCCTTAGAGTGAGGCTGTATTTTGTTGTCTCTTTCAATAAAGACTAATAATCTAATAGGTAAGCATTGATAGATTAAAAATATGCAATAACTCCTTAAGTAAGTATACAAATTCTTATATAGTTATGATCTAGGTATTATTCAGTTTTGATACGCAACAGCAGCTTAATATCTGCATAATTACCTAGCTTGACAACAAGTCAGTGCGGCATCCTGACTAAGCTTGATTAATTGTGATATTGCCAAGTATGCTTTACCCCGGATAACGTATGAGGAATTTTCAAGAAGGTGTATTAAGGTTGTTACAAGTTGCTGTTAATGTAAACGATTAAAATAAGGAATTTGTAAAATAACGGACTTTTAATCCAAATTGATATTATCAAGCTAAACCTTGTCTTGGACCATTCTCTTAACAAACAATTGCCCACTGAACAGTGTTGAAATAAGCATCGTTATCAAAGACTAATAAAACAAAGGTGCATAATTTTGATTAGCCACGAGCAACAAGTCAAGTTAATGCGTCGGATCTACACACTCGCATTATGAAACAACTGAACCAACGATAACTCACCTGAGAAATTTTTCCGACATTTGTCGAAAGCGATTTTAAAATAGTTTGTAAACCAACTCTGTCATAAATATGATTGAAGATAGAGGAAGATTTCCGATTTAGACGACTTAATGCCTGTAATTCAATCATCAATTTATTAATACGTATACGTGTATTATGCATTTTAACTATTGCATTATTTTTGTACTTAGTAATCGAACTATCATTAGTGAACTAACCGAAATAGCTGTAGCACATAAAGCGTCGCTTGACGAATGAGTAAATAAATTCCATAAAGCTTGTGCAGTACCAGGAGTAGCTAGTTTCTGAATTATAATTTTCGGTAACATCACTACACGTATATTTAGATTTAATGGTAAGAAACTCTGTTAATGCAATTGAGTAGTACCTTACTAGGCCTAGAATCAATCACAGCTACGCTTTCTATCGTTTTTGCAGCATGTTGTTGTACAATCGGATCACCCTAATTTTTAATTAAGTAATTCCTTTATTTAATATACGTATTTTGTATATAAGATACCAGTACCTAACATCGCAGTCAATTCTTTTAAATACACCGCACACAATAGAAGAAAACAGCATATCTACTAACCCCTTGCAAACACTTTACTATCATAACATAACTAGCGGAAGGAATTTCCCAGTTAGAAATGACTGAATTACTTTTCATCTCCTATATTATATGAAGGAATACAGTTAATTTAAATTTTATAAACATTTAAAAAAATACCCTTAAAATAGTGAAAGGTTATTCTTATCTATTATGAAGCTATACGTATATAACCTGTGATGCAACAAAATATATCAGTTCTCCCAATGCTGCAGTAAGAGTCTAGATGCACAGTTATATAATTAGTAAAACATTCTAAAAACTATACATCGAGATAATTCAACTCTAGATAATAATGCAAACAAACCTGTTTTAACTTTACATTTCGTATACTGTCACGAAGAGCATCAGTAGCCATTCCAAACAGCTATAGAGAGAATATACGTATGAAGGGTATTCAACAAATCTAAAAATTGATAGCAAGAATAAGACCAATTCATACCTCTGATATATTAAATTCTCGTTTAATCATGGTTGCACTGGATATAATGAGACCAAAACACTTAGCAATCTTTTCCTTTCTGTTGGTGTGAGCAATAATTAAATATAGTGGCATATTATAAAGGTAATTATATTGAATTAAGAAATTTATTGTTGTCCTTACATTTCCAGAATAGCCGGGGACTTTAATATGATAGCTAGCGCAATTAACTAAAAAAAAAATATATTGTATCACCTTATACTGCAAAGTTTATAATAGCGAACTAATCACAATGATTATGCCAACATACCAAGTCAGAATGAAATACTAAATCCGCGATGGAAGAGTTAGATGATATGGAAGTTAGGTATGTAATTGCATGCAATTTTATCCTCTGCATATTACTACCGCTCGATTGCAACGTTTCCTGGATTAACTGCAAATGAGATTGCTGTTCTTCGTCGGTCAATTCTACTATTTGCTCAGCTATGTTTATAAATTCAGTAATTTAAGATTAAATCATAACTTTCAACAATTTTATTACAGTCCCAGTAAGTAAAAAATTCTTAAAACCCGTTTACCAGTGTGTGAAGGAAATGACAAAGATTTAGCATCCCATTTCAAGGAACGACTCCTCTGCGTCTACACAAATAATGTAAATTATTCATACATTATTTACTATATGTGCATGCCAGTAAATGACTAAATAGTCGATAACGATTCTATAAAAATATATTACTAAATTATGCTCAAGCTTACACGATGAGTTTCCAGAATGGGAGAAGCAACTAAATCACTATCATGATAAAGCAATTCTGAGATGGCTTCAGGAACGGTAATTTGATCAAATTCTTCATTTGCAGGCTGCAACAAGATATATCTTACGTTTAATTTTCAAAGATGTCAACACACAATTAAGATCTTAGATAATTGATAACGATAACGTATTAATATGCTGCTGTACTGTGCTTTTTCTGGAAATTCTTTTATCTCCTTTTGGTGTATCCATAGGCAGAGTTTCATCTAGGCTATCATCAAGCTCTGGCAACTGAACTTTTTCAACTAAAGGCTGCTTCAGTTCGCTACTACCACTAACGAAAACTTCTGTATCACTGTATGACTGACTGACCACATTTTGCATAGTGGAAACTTCGTCCGTACTTTGCGCTACAGTTTCTTCAAGTCCCTTAGATTGCTCAACTTCCTCCTCAACGTCTTCCAGAATATTCTGGTCGTTTTTTTCGATGATCGTAAATAGGTTTGGTTGCTCAGATTCAGTGGTTAGAAAGTTAAGGGATGAATGAGGGCGCAAACTATAAAAGGACATAAAAGTCTTAGCTTCCTGACTTGGATTTAATGTAATCTGTGATTTCAATAAATTATGATTTTATTAACCTTAAGCTAAAGCATACAGGCTTATTTCGGCGTGAATCCTCTGGAGCGGTCAATGGTCTTATCACAGATCCTATTATACACGTATATTAAAATTGAAAATGCAAAGTAGAACTAAGTAGGAAAATTAATCAACGTTCGTTTTTAATATTTATCGAATCAAACCTAGGCCGACTACTTACCTTGATAAAGTGTTGAATTCTCGTCAACACTTTCATTCTGTGATATATTTGTGCTATTATCCAGAAATGATGAATTGTTATTATTATCACCACCAAGTATTGATTGAACAGAATTATCAAGGGTACTTCTAGATTCATCTAAACCATCTTCCTTTAATTGATTTACGATCTTGTTTTTCCACATTTCATGAGAGCATACTCTGGACCAATCATACCTGCATAAATATTCTTATCGTAAGTCATCAGCGATGTCCACTGATCTATCGAATAAATAAATTTTCCTATAGAATACCTTTCATTGGGATCTTTTCGCAAGAGTCCACTAATTAAATCTAAAAATTCTGCAGATATTTCTTCACTATGTACTATATATGTTATGAAGCAATGGTTACATCATCATTAATTCTTATTTTTCAATTAACAACTCTATCACTACTTAGCTACTTAGCAAGATACCCACTTGGAGAAGTCGGAAAAGGGGGATCGTTTTGTAAAATATTATTCGCCAACTCAGCAGTCGTTTCTCCTTGGAAAGGTAGATTACCTAAGTAAATATCAGTAAATCGTATAGTGAAAAATCAGTCCTATAAGAATCGCTAAAATCGTGGTAACAGCTACTAGCTACCATCAATGCCAGTAACGCCAACGATTTATTAGGTACGTTTTAGGGGTTAAAAAATTGATACTATGCAATGTACCTGTATACATTCGGTAAAGCAAACATCCCACTGACCATAAATCAGATGCAGGCGAGAACTGCCCAAACAACATTACTTCTGGTGCCAAGTATGGCGTAAATGGCATTCCAGTTTTTTTATCTGAAACTTTTTTCACATTAACTTCTTCGCTGTCACTTTGTTCATCGCTGCTATCACTGTCTGTTCCATCAAGAAAATCTAACCTTTCACCAAGCAATCGTGCATGATTGAAATTACTATATTTAATTGCCCATGTACCGTCAAGCAAGAGCTGAAATTATGAAATTTATTATTATTAAATACAAAGTCCGTGAGTTTTCGAGAATAATTAACTTTTATGTTATTCTTTATATATAAATTAGCCATCGTTATCTTTAAAAAATAATTGTTACAAATTTCTACGCGAATTGTTCATTAATTAATAAAACTAATGAAATTTCTACAATTTAGAAAATATAGCATACCTTGGAAGGCTTTAAGTCGCAGAAAACAATCCCTAAAGAATGTATAGTGTAAAGGCCTATCACTAAATCGACACCAAAATTACGGATCGATTCTTCTGGTAGGCAACCGTCTTGATTGAGTATTTCTTGGAGGCTACCTCCTGTACAAAGCTGAACTATTAACCATAAATGCTTTGAAGTTTCATACCATTCGTGAAATTCAACCATACATCGATGTTTCAGTCCCTGGCTTAATCTTACCTAAAGCGATGACATTGATTAATATTTGTTTACAGCTTTGTTGGTAATCGTTCTAATGATTTCTCATTGCCTTGATAGAGACACTAATTGTCATTATATTTATTAATACGCAGATAAATTACTGTGTTGGAAAGAGCATATGCTAGCGTCGCTATGCTTGATATAAGCTACTAGAATTGCATCACCAAAATTAGTTAGCCAGACTAATTCTAAATGTATTACTATAAAGTATAAACCATCTATGAAGATTTTTATTATTGGACTTTTACGAGCGTGTACTGCCATTAATTAAAATGAATATAACCTCAAAATATTGTACGAATAATACGAAACAATTGGTCGCAACTCACAACTAATCTATTCACTGTGGTTATAAATATTTGCTAATACATCGGCTTGTATGCTCATTCCGTCACATATCATTGCTACACCATACGTACTGTACTTACTCTGTTGGTAGTTTCTGCACGCTTGGATTTCTCAATACAATAAATAGCAACAAATTCAATAGCACCTCGTTTTCTGCCCTTATATACTATTGATCCATCACCACGTCCAATTTCATCATATAAAATATAATTCTCCATGACAGACGGCCATACACTATATGGACTACAAATATAATAACATGATATAGCTAAAATGAGTTCAATGACGAATATCTACCAAATAGACATTATCATGTTTAATTAATTAAAAGGAATGAAAGCTATCAGTTCCATCCGTATACTATCAGCATAGGTAATTTATCCGCAGAACTAATTATATGAACTAATTGACCGATAGGCTGTTTATTTATTCCAGATAATAATAATATTAAAAGTTATATAGTAAAGTTAAGTCGAGTCTATGAGAGGATTCTCATCACGCTAACTTGTACAGTAAGTTCTACTGGTGTAATCAAGTATCCATACAGTAAATAACATACGTAGTACAAGGTAGCTAATCAATATATTTATATCATAAATCAACACTTATCAGCCATGGACTTTACTAGTTCTACTATAGTACTGAACATTGTGCCATATACTTCTCTTAATAACTTCACACTATTTAACCTCTAGCGAATAATCAATAATACAGTCATCATTGATCGTAGACTGGTTATATATATACATATATATATATATATATATATTATTTGTCTTTCTCCTACAGTGCATACTAAAGATGCTGAGAGACCTATGATAGATAGGTAGTTCATTTTATTCCAAATAATCTCGAAAGTTATACAGCAAAGTTAAGCCAAGTCTATGATGGTATTCTCACCACATTAAGTTGTAAGTTCTACAAGTGTAATCCAATATCCATAAATAACATATCGTACGTATTACAAGCTAGCTAATCAATATGATGATATATCACACAATAACACTTATCAGCGATGGGCTTTACTAGTCCTATTACAGTATTGGAAATTGTGTCGTATACTTACCTTAATTCGTCACTATATGCATTTAACTTCTGGTGAATAATAGATGCGCGTATATATATATATATATCTCATAGTATATAATTAAAAATAGAAGGGTAATTATTGACTGCAAACTCTGGTAATTATTTGTCTTTCCCGCGAGCTCAAGCCCTATACAGTACTCGTATACTCAAGCTACAGTATCCGGTATATTCTCATACCTTGTATCAATTCGATTTTTCTCCTATTTTAAGACAAATAGATACTCCAAATCGACGATCCTTTCAGGCCATTCGCCTCCACATTAACAACTCGATTGATGATCCGTTTTAAGGTGGTTAAACCATTCAAAAGTACCTCAAGACTTGAGCCAAGTGTGGAGAAACGAGTCGAACTAAAGTTAATGAACTCCAAGTTATTTTATTAACGGTTATCAGCGACGCTGCTCTCCATATGCAACACTCCGCATTATGCACAGTTTATAGCACCTATACATAATCGAAGGATGGTTTCATACAGTAAACTGCTAGCTGTATCGAAGAAATGATCCGCTCGTCCAGCGTTCCGTGCTGCTAGAGTGTACAGTACAATGCACTCGGATCTCTACAGTATAATACACTGTAGTGTGGTATTGTACCGTGCAGTTTTCACATCCAGAGTGCCCTAGGCAACCCCCAATTTTTTTGAAGTAAAATACCTTATAGGCTAACGGTGATCGAGTAACTAAGTAGTAGTTTGTATGGACAAAATCTTAGTCTATACTGTCCTATACAGTACAAATGGTACAGTACCTTTCATCATTTCCTCACAGCGTGGTCGTCAAGATGGCGGAACTCGAATTGCAACCAACTGCCGAAGAGCGCGATGAATTTCAAATGGATGATGGAGACGGTAATCATTTCTGAAGGAAATGGATTCTACAAGTATTCCTTATAAACGATCAATAAATGGATACCTTTCTATACTTTGTTATAATTGTAGACTCCATCCAGAAACTAAAACAATCAGCCAAGAAACGAAAGGGTCGAGGTTTCCAAGGTTAGCCTTAAAGAAGTGCTTTGACGTTGCTTTAGTATAATGCTATTGAAAGACTCTAATATTCTCTATGGATATTCACACTGATAGAAGAACTGATTAGTGTATCATCATAATACTATTCATGATTCAGCAAAAGTTTAGTCTTGTTTGCCTCATCAATCGATCCTCTAGTTAGACTACGCACCAACCTTAGCTTTGTCATCGTCGTAATGATCGATTCATTGTAGCAAATTCATAAATGCACAATGAATTAAAAGAAATTATACAGGCAACAATTTGATGCTGACTATCAGTTTACTGTAGCTAACACTCTTGGCATGTACAATAGCGTAAATGGACGATGCACCCTTAGTTTTCTTAATCAGTTTTAAAAATTGTGTTGATTCGTCACTTCAACTTTCTACAGTTGTGAATTATCGCTAGTTCCTTTTTCGTCATTACAGCATTTTCCTAACTTACAATGGATCAATTTCCTAATTGTCTCCAATTTTAGATGACGGTGAGGAAGCGAAAGGTTCCAATTTACAATATGAATCCATGGATGTAGACGGTGACTATGCTACTGGACCCCAAAGATGTAAGTTATTGCTGGTAACATTTTGGTCTTTCGTGGTATATCTGATCACCTTGATAATGAATTTAGCTGTAGAAGGATGGATCGTTTTCGTTGCAAATATCCATGAGGAAGCCCAAGAGGATGATGTATACGAAAAATTTGCCGAATACGGAGATGTGAAAAATCTCCATTTAAATCTAGATCGTCGTACAGGTTTTATCAAGGTCAGACAATATTATAGATTCGATACCAGCCGCTCTTTTAATCAATCTCATCTTCTAATACTAGTCTAACACTAATTTGCTAGGGTTATGCATTAGTTGAATTTGAGACTAAAAAAGAAGCTCAGGCTGCTATAGATAACCTGAATGGTACAAATTTATTGGAGCAAACTATTAAGGTTGACTGGTGTTTTGTAAAAGGACCTCAGACATCGGGTCTTAAGAGGTAAATCGCTAATATTAATTTGTACCCCATTAATCTTATGCTGGTGTATATCGTTAACTTCCTTTGCTGGATGTGTTACATCTCTGAAGTAATACCATGTAATTTCTTTCTGTATTAGGAATGACAGAGATGGCCGAAGACGTTAATCTTTTGTATTTCATTGATTAAGTTCCTTATGTTATTATTATGAGCATCACCAACTCGTCTTTTGCGCTGTAATTCTACGACAGCAAAATGTTATTTCATCCAATGGTCTTTGAACGTAAATTCCTAATTATCGAGACCATGTCTTCTTTAAGTGCATGGTCACTTTACCTATGCTTCGTCTTTTACTTTGTGTAGGTAAACGAACATGTTAAATAGTATTTTATTGCATTTTCAGGTGGCAATCAGTTATCCTGCCCTACGTGTTTCATATAGTTATTTCCTAGATTCACTTGTGATAGTTCGCAGAGCTTTATGATCTGATTTTATAGTTAATACTATGACTTGTTAATTACATATACGATTGATCCTTTTACAGTATCATTAATGGCGGACATATGTAAAGCGTCCTTGTAATGTTATTAAAATTCAAGTTTCGTCTAATGTCGTTTTTAATCTCTGACTACATTTACTTTACCTATCGCTCGCTACATGACTACTGTACGTCAGCTTTGACATACTTATCAGATCGAAGGTTTTGATCGTACCAAGCTCTGCTAAAACACATGTCAGCAAAATTTGGGATTTGGTCGGTTTTCCCCTCTTTCGGAAGTAGGGCTAATAAGTAAAAAACGCAATTTATCTAGGCCTACATTTTACACTTTTGTTTGGACTTCATGAAGAATCGAAAAATGCCAAAACGGCATTTAGTGGCTTTTAGCAGATAATCCACAATCATATTACTCCTTCTAATTTCCATAGCTCACTAAGAACTGATTTTACTCGAATTTAAAATTATATTCCAAATAAGTTTCTTCGACTCGAATAACTAAATACATACTGAACAACAATTGGCTTAATTCTGGACTATTAATAATTAATTGATTAACAGATAATCCTGTTTCTAATCTTTACTAAGAATTCTTTTTTGCTCAAATTTAAAATTACATTCCCACCAGTTGCTTAAACTCGAATAACCAAATACTAACAACTGAATAACAATTCACTTCACATTAAGACTATCGTAGCAGTATATCCCCAATCTAAATTAGCACGAACCTAAAACCATGCCATGATCATATTACAAAAAAACACGCTTTCATAATACTTGATTTGTTATTTTTGTTTATTCCATACTTGGGTATTACCAGTCAATTATGAACTAGAATGCATGTTACTCCTTCATTATATAATTATTGTTCAATAGACAACGCAAAAATTTCATCCGTTAAATCAAAGCACTTCCAGACATGAGAGCTACAATCACACTATTAGTTATCCTTTCAACACTGATTAAGCATGAATCATGCTAAACTTTTAATTAAGATCCTAGTCTTATTACATCTACTGCTAAAGTGCATTGTAACCATTGTCTTATTAAACTACATATTACAAGAGTAAAGCTTAACTAGCGATAAAAAGACTGTATCAAGTCATCAAACTCAAGCCATCATTAAACTTCGTCATCGCTAGCTTCAAGGCCAGTGCTATCTGACGTTATTTCACGAATTTCACTGGTCTCAATATTACTTTCGCTTTCTTCAACCGATGTGTACAAAATACTACCCTGCTTCACTGTAGAGGTTACATCTTCCAACTGTAACGAATGAAAACGCAAATCTTGTAATTATTGTACCTTTTTAATAAGTAAAAAGCATGATGAACGTACCGTTGTCTGTTTCAGTACGTCAATATCGGAGTTTTGCATATCTGTATCGAGGAGTTCATCAGGTGTCTTGATGGGAGTATCGACTGGTGTTTCTTCCTTTCTAAGAGGCATATACCCTTTTACTCTCTCAGGCAAAACTTGTACAATTACGGTTTGAATTCGAAGTAAGTTGTCATTGATAAAAGGACGATTCTTTACATAAGTTTCCCCATATGTCATTCCATAAGCCAACTGTTCATTACATGAAAGTAAATGATAGCAGAACCAGTTATTAATATTTTATCATTGCATGTTGAACTAAGAAGCTTCATTTATACTCACTAAATTGATGATGTAAGATCGAGCAGAACAAATGTTTTCCATAATGTAAGGGTATTTATTTTCGACAACGTTAGCATAGGATTTCTGCTGTGTAAGTAAATTAGCTTATTAACTTAAGACAAGACATGAACATTATTTGTTATCATTAGTAATGCTTATAATATAGTACCAATTTAACAGAAACTGTTGATCGAATGTTGGATAATTCTTTCTTCAAGTATGAAAATTTTCCTTCAGGTCTGATATTGCTTTCCTAAAGCCGAATAAGAGTCATGTGCTCATATATTAACATGCGTTGAATAATTGAAGATTTCGTTTATGTTTTATATTTTATGACCAAAGTGAACATAGGTAACTTACAGTCTTTGCCGATGCAGTCGATTCTTCGCCAGCTACGCTTTCGTCGGTAAAAGGGCTCTTTTTGTCAAGAGATTTATCATAAGCAATCTAATAACAGACAACTTTCATTAGTGTCGTAATATAATGGAAAAAAGATTGTTAGATTGGTATTTTGTCAAGTAATTTAAGCTATTAAAAGAAATTGAAGTTTACCAAATCTACAGAGTATTTAAATTTGCTGATGATCTCGGGACCGCGTTGTTTTACGTTTTCTAGTCGAGTAACCATTTGGGTAAACAAGCGGCGTTTAACCTTGGAAGTCAGCGTGTAAATGCGATCGACTTTGCCAGTTGCGCTTTCCTCGTTTTCTTCCAGCATTTCAGTTATCTTATTGTCTTGATTAGGATCACTGGCAGTTTTCACTTCTAGTTCATCTACTCCAGGCAATATATATTCGACGGTATTATCAGTAACATCCAAAACCTTATCAATCCCATTACTGACACGTTCTACTAGATAAGATTTGCGAACGCAGTCAATATTTGCTTTCAAATTGTCTTCGAATCTTGTGCGAATCTAGAATGGAATAATTTTCCGGTTACTACTTTTCTAGAAATAATTGTTGTTCTACTCGATAATAAATTAGCAAAGATGACAAGTGACCAACCTTATCTGATGATTCCTTAACAATTGGGATCTTCTCCTCTAATTTCTCCAATTGACGACTAGCAAAACCGTCTGCCGCAACAACTACAATGAAAAATTATGTACGTAGAACGATGTTAGCCTTGCTATAAGATGACGTCTATATTCATAAGCATTGAATCTATCATTCACTAGAGATTGAAAGTAATGACCATCAAACTAATACACTCCGTCTCATACCGAAAGTACAGCGTGTCCTATTACAGACGCAGAGCCCTACTCCATAGTGATTGATATCTACGTAACTAATTCTATCCGTATACTTGTCTTTGAATTAATTATACATGATCCTGATTCACTCTACCGTAATTAGTTTACCCAATTATGTTCGATTCATCACTTTACCGTTTACATGCCTTTCAAAAAGACATCCCTACACAAATTTGTACGTACTCAGGAATTAGGCATAGACGACATACTGTATACCAACTCTTACAAACTTACTATACTACAGTATACAGTAGAGTCATTTTTGAAATGATGACATCCTACAACCTACAGTACACTACAGTTATACTTATTACTGGACAGACTACAGTAGTCTTCTACTACATACAGTCGAGTACCCTAGCGGGTGTCGATGAAATCAGAATTAGAAAAGAACTATTTCACAACTAATGCCTAATTTGACTGACTGGATTGCCCGATCTTGATCGAGATGTAGTCATATGAACATTGACCAGTAAAACGAATATTATTCAGAGGGAGTACAGTACACTTACTCTGTTGCTGAAATGGCTGCAAAGCTGAAGTCAGAATGTTGGTCACAGAAGTTTCAATCTTGTCCAAGCCCCCTTTCAACATATCGCTTTTTACTTTGGTTGTCTGATAAACACTTGAGACTTGATTGACAGCAAAGTTAATAACAGGATAACTACTAAGGCGCTGGACAGTCGCCAACGTCGACATTTCTCCGTCCATAGTCATTTCTTTTTCAGTTTTTTCTCTTTTACCGTTTTGATACCGGAATAATTTCGCAACGATTTCTCCAGCAGTTATTCAATTTTTGAATGAGTCAACTTTCGTTACCGGTGGCCCTTTTATACTGTAGGCCAACGGGCTGACAAAGGGCTTCAGTGTTGCGGTCTCTTTGCCCTGGTTGGACTTTGTACCCTGAACTGTATAGTCCATTCCTGGAAACGTGTGAATGGTTTTACAGTACAATATACTGTGGAACGGTACAGCAATATACTGTACCGTTTGTACTGTACTGCCCAACTTACAGGATTGGAAAATACAGTATTACACTAGACGATCTGGAACTTCAAACTGTGTCGGCGAAATCAAGCTCAAAGTAGATAAAATCGTCTATGTAGATGTAGCCCAATCACTCAGGGACGTCAACCTCATCCTCCTGCCTTTACATATCGATTTTGAACAGGAGTGTTCACAAATTGCAACTTTCAATTTTCCACGCCAAGTTCCCATCCAAGTTAAACGCGCTGTCCACTACAGTACAATCCTCTACAGTGCATACTCTACTGTAGACTATAGAGTTGAGTTTGCATTGTAAAATCACTCGCTAAAGGTCAAGATTTCATCATCTTTCACTATGCTCTCAGCATGACCTCTGTCCTCTAGCATAGTGTAAGCTAGCAGCGTTAGAATATTCTGGTTGAGGATGACAGTAGCAACGGATTGCTTGTTCCTATCGAAATGATGAATCACCACAATAACAATCCTTGAAGAACAAAATACAGTAGATTTGTAATTGCCATTTATGGCGATATGATGATACTAGTCAATTTGGGGATGATGTTTTGAAGATGGACGCAATCTCCTATTTTACCACCATAAGTTGCACGCGCTACATACGTGCTCTGAATGGGTCAATTCCCGCAGGTGTCACTTAGCAAGCCAAAATAAAATAGTTGTAGAGCAATAACATAGTTGAAATCAACACATTTCTAAGACGGTAGTTCTACCCAAAAATAAAACCAATAAATTGCATTTTGGCTATGAATAAAGCGGAAAAAGGTGCCATAGTACAAGCTAAAATAAAATATTTGCACTGTAATAACATAAGTATTTGAAATCAGCACATTTCTAATTGGGCTACTTCAGAAAAAGAATAATAATACCGTATAGTACTGTAGTAATAAATTGCATTACAGTCATTGCTATCATAAATAAAGTAGAGAAAGCTACTTCACTAATGTTAGGCTTGGCTGTTTACACCATCCTCGATTTTATAGCATTATTTGAATTTCACACCTAGCGTAAATACGTCAGTAGGTAGGAATGTATCGCCAGAGTACGGAAATTACCAAGACTTGTTTTGAAAATGCCCAACATAATAAAAAGTTATAAATACGACTATGAAATCCAAGTAATAGAATATCGTAATCACTCCTGACTTATAAATAAGTAAGCCGGCAGTAAACGAGCATAGTAGTCAACACTTTATAACCAAAGTAATAGAATACCGTAGGCACTTCTGACCTAACAGCAAATACGTTGGCAGTAAACGAGTGCAGTAGTCAACACTTTATCTGCGACTGTTAAAATTCTGTCCAATATTAACGATTCGCTTTTGTGTAAAATTGATCATAAAACAGTGACAATAGAAATGTGATAAATACTTTTTTATCATTATAGGATTCACTCACTGACTACGAGTACTTAACGCCATCACACTCCACTATACATGCATGGAAGAAACGGTCTAGTAATCCTACTCAATATCCTGACACTGTTGCGAAAATTCTACTACATTTCCATATTACTGTACACTATAATTGTACAAGTATTTATAATTTTATTTATGCGACTGCATAGGGATGAATCATACTGCTAAATATGCGTTGCGAAACAGCGATTAAACTAAATGGCATCAGTTACAAAATGTTAAGGTTATTTATTGACTAATCACAAAAAGCCACGAATAGTAATTCGCTAAAATTATACATTTAAAACAGAGATACCATCTACAATTTTCGTTTGGTTAGTTGATTAATTACGAGTATACATATATTATTTTTATATAAAGTTCTTTCTAAAGTTAAAACATAACAAATTATTATTGTGCCACCATAAACTCGTAAATATTAATTTGATTCAAGCGTATCAATTTGTATTGATAACTTCTGTAAGTTGGGAACGTCATCACGACATGAAAATTATTGACATAGTAGATATGACACGTTGGAAACCTATAGGTTATGAGAGCAAGATTCCCTTATTATAAAAGTGTGGACGAAAATTAATTACTGTATGGCCTGAATATGAAGCTGCAGAAAGCTTCTCAGAATATGAATAATAAATGTATATATATACGATAAGTAAGCTATATTTAGCAGCTGTGCGTTATAATATTTATATTACCTTTATTTACTGTTAAGTAAAATTCCTTCTATAGTTAAGGAACATAAGCATGCTGTTAATATGCAAATACTGTAGCGATTTACAAATTAATCTACACTAGTGCAAACTCCCGTCGCTTTGCTGACGGTTTACGATAATGTGCTCATTTAACAGATAGTAGTAACATTTGATAGACCTATCAGAGATTCAGTAACTTTTTACCGTGTACTCTTGTATAAAATCAAAATTACTAACTCCATTTCAATAAAATGCCGTTATATAGTGAATATGTGCTACTCTATATATGTTAACAACAATGTTATACAGTATATATATATACATAATATAGTTACATGTTATGTTACATTAAGAAAAATTTAAGTTTTCACCATTCAATTGTAAGGACATTGCATCGTACCCATGCAATAGCCTAAGACTTGCTTGGCTAAACAAGTAACATACTGCAAGATAATTAAGCGTTCAGAAAAACCAACCAATAAATAGCAATGGTGCAAGAGTAACGATTATTCTAATCGATAATTCATTCATTAATTAATCAATTTAACGGTTGTACAGTTCCTCTTACTTTGAAGAACACTCTGGAAATAAGATAGCTATTATCTTTCTTACAAATAAGCATAAGAATATTAAAGCCGGAAAAGCCACGGCACCAATTGCACTGAGTCCAAATTTGGATATACCGGTTGCATAGAAATATGCCGGTGCCGCAAATGAAAAAAGACCCAATGATAAAATACTAGCAAGAAGTATATAGCGACTTTCGTAGCAAGCAATAGGTACACTTCGAGCTTTGAATGCACGATAAATACATAGAATATTCAATAATCCAAATTGAGCATACGCATACACAGCAATGGCGTTATTGTTGGTCTTACAATATAAATAAACCACCTTTTTGGAGGTAACGTCATCAATACCTACAGTAATTGGATCAAATTTTAAAATCAGCATATAAGCCATACCTAGAAACATGAGAGTAAGTATTAATACAGCCAACTGAATAACAATGTTGCTTATTATGGAGCTAGTATTTTCTCCGGGTGATCGTTCGTCTTGAATTCTGTTAAGATTTGCAATTTTCATTAAAAGAACAAGGAGAACAAGGGTTGTACAGAAACTAAATGCAATAAAAGAGAGTGTACAGATCAAAGGAGTAATCGGTATTAATAGCAGGATGGGTAATACATAATTACTTAATAAGCCAATTAGCAACAACATATTAAGTAAGTAGCTAGATTCGGTAATCAAGATATTTTTTCTTCTCCTATGAACCAGAAAGCAAGTCGTTAATGTCAAGCTAACAAAAATGCTTGCAATAATGACAACTAATAGAGCTGGCCCATCGGTTATTCTTAAATGCCTTCTAAAGACCGCTAAGCAACCTGTAGCATTAGAATTTGCTGTCCAACCACGTAAGCAATCATGGCAGTGAACGGTATTTGTATAATTGGAATAATGATGCGTTGGGCATGGCGGACAGGTCCAGCAGCATCTTTCTGCAATACTAAAAATTCGATAAGTACCAGGCGGACAATCTGCACTACATTGTGATTCTGGTGGTAAAATCGCCCCTGAATGCCAAATAATCTCATTGGTTTGTAGATAGAACTTAGAAGAATTTGTAGCAATCTCCGTCGCTGAGTAGCTTCCAACAACTACCGTCTGCAGGATTTTACTACTAGGGTCAATCTGTAAATTGCAGTATTTATAAATACCTGGGCCATCTCCAGTCTTGTCAAAACGTACTGGATGTGCTGTAATCCCATTAAAGCTAACATTATAAACAAATTTATGTAATTCCTTTAGATTAATGTGCTTCGCAGCATTAACATTATCCATCACAGAACAGCTAGCGCCAGGTTTACAGTTTAACATAGTATGTAATGCATGCGCAACAGTATAAATCGCGTCAATAATATAACCAACATAGACACCATTAGCATAAAAATCATTTGTTGCTGGATTTGTAGCCTCATTAGGCAGGTTACAATCATTACCATTGTATGATTCTTTAAATATCTTTTGAAACCAAGGATTAGCCTGATTATTACAAAAATTTAACGTCTTTAAATACTGCATAAATTTTTCTATATTATGATCAGGAAGCATCACTCCGAGGCTTCCACTAACTACACTAGTTGGAAAGCGCCTGACTAATGGGCTATTTGACCAGCCAGAGACGGCTATAAAATTTCTATCAGTTAATCCTAGTCGTTCAGCCTGGCGAAAAAAAGACAATGCATCCACTGGATCACATATTAAAACTATAGCTTGAACATTTTGTTTAGCAATTAATCGCTGAATAATTGTAATCATATCTTGCTGTTTACGATAGATTTGAAACTTTGCAAAAATCGGTATGCATACTCCTAGACTAGTTGTTGATCGTAGTAGTGTATTACCCATTGCTTCACCAAAAGCATCATCTACAATCACGATTCCAACATAATTCCACCGAAATTGTCTAATAATTTGTACAATTGCATCAGCCTCGTAATCATCTGATGGGACGGTTCGGAAAAATGACTTGTATTCTGCCACATTACTTAATCGACGACTGCTAGCGCTATAACTTATTTGCAATAATTCAAAATTGCTAAGCATCGTTGCTACAGCTATTGATTCCTTACTACTTGCAGCACCGATAACAGCAGCAATTCGTCCATGCACAAAATTGGCAGTATTAGATGAATTCAGCTCTAGATCACGATTATGCTTTACGTAGTTCATGGCATATCTCAGAGCTAATTGCGATGATCTACACGTATCCCTAATATCATATCCAAAAGTTACCTTTGGCAATAGCGTTGAATCTTCATTAATCATTTTGATAGCATATATCATAGCTTGCACTTGTTGAACATTTTGGGCATTTATCTTAGAGCAATGTCCAGTTTTTGCATCATAGTCATTTAAAACGTCAAAGAATCCTCCAAGAATAAAATCACCTTGTTGGAAGGCCCTGATACCGCTAACTTCATTCCCAATGGTATTTTCTCCGTTGGCGGTGTAAGGAGATAATCCAATGTGAAAACCGATTACTAAATAGCAAGTGAAAGCTACAGAAATATCACACATCGATGATTTTGAGCTTGCAGTCGACTTTTTTAGAATAATTTGTTTTATAAATCAATATACGGAGGACAGGGAAATGTACAAAGGATAGCTTTAAAACACGTTATATATTATAATTGAGACATCAATCTACTATGATACGATTGAGGTTATATCCTTTAAATTGGTAGAATCTCTTTGGAAGTTAATATACGCTGTTACTTTGCTTTTAAAACAAATTTAAGTTTAAAAAATTGGACAAGTTTATGATAATAGAAAAGTTTCTCGAATATCCAATTGTTAACTATTTTACGAGCATATGGAATATTTCATTAGTGAGAAATTCACAAAGTACTAGTATCTAAATACAGCTAAATTTCATCACTAACTAGAAAATCTACTGTATGCTAATGTGTTATCTGAAAGTGGCAATAAGCACATATTGATCAAAATTCATCTCACCATAATTAAATTAGGTAATATGTAAATATTCAATGTACGAGTATACAGTTTTTAATAATACGTGTATATATAATGAAATCTCTATAATTTTACAAAGACACGCGTATGTTTTATAAAGTATATTGATAGTTTAATTAATTAGCACAGGCGTTCCATTATTTAATTTTATACGTAAATAATGAAACTAGTACGGATATCCGTGCTTGTAACTTGAAAAGAAAGGATCTATTTGCAAAACTACTTAATAATATTTTTATTAGTATCATATTTTATGAAGCTTGTACTATAGCTTCTATCTGTCTATGGGTGTATGAATACACTGTAAGCTTTTGCTACTCTGTTGGTATGAAAGAAAATACCAGATACGCCCGTAAAAATTCTGCAATTCCAAGTATTCATTTTACGCAATAAAATTATCAATCGCAACAGTATAATTACATGCTTTTGAATACCTCTTTCCATGTTGTCGTAAATTCCTAACGGAAGTGACTATAAAATTTACACTATTTAGGCTTTCCTATATTGCATATTCGTTGGAGCTGTAGAGATAAGCTTTCCTTCTAGCTTAAAATATGCAGAATGCTACGATTGTAACTGCAATTTACTCCCCTTATGCCAATTATAGGAATGAGGGGATAGATACAGATTTCTTCTCTCCTTCCCAGTGTTAATTATTATCATTAACAAATTTAATTTAAATAACCTAGCCATAACTCTAATTCTAACACAATTACCTACATCTTAATGATGGTTAGAGTCCGGGAATAGAATATTGTGTTTTCGTATCAGTCTATTAAAATTATGCCTAATTATTAACTAATATAATGCTTGCAGGTACATTGTTTCGGCAAGGTATACTTAAGTTCTAATAGTTGTTACCTTCGTAGAAGCTATTCAGTTTTACTAAATAATAGTTATTCTATGTTATATACGATATTTTGCATGTATCGTTGATCCAAGATTGTAATTATTAAAAAAGTAAACTGTAAGTTATTTTAACTGAAGTACCTTAAACAAACTACAATTTTAAGCGACTAGTGTAGTAGTTTCTGATATTTGTTGATTTCAGCATATGAAAAGTATATAAACCGGTGCAAAGATTTACGCTATGCAACATGAATCTAGTACAGCCTCGTAATATTTAATATGTTAAAAATGTTTACTACAGTATACTTTAAGACACACTTTTAGCAGATGGTTTATCTTGAAATTAATTTTATTTTATCCCTACTGCCAATTGGCTGACAAAAGGTAAAGGTTGCATTAATACAGGCTGCAGCGGGCGATTTCTAGAGCTCTATTAGTCCTGTATACAAAATGGAAGAGTATCTTCGATGATAATCGATATACAAACTATGCATTACAATTGGGTATTAGAAGTGAAATAAAGAAAAGATTTAAGGCTTTTTCGCTAGAAAAAAATGGAAATAATCTCCATACTCTCACTGCTAATTGAATGCAGAAATTTTGCAGAGGATAGCTGCTCCGCCATACAGTTTATTATCGCAGAACGCGTACAGTAGTAACTGGACCACTATACTGTAATGAGTCATGATTACCCAATCAATACTGAACTACTGCACACACACAGTCATTTACGGCACATTATCAAGTATCGCCATAGAAACAGTTTGCGCATGCCAGGCACCATCAAGGTATTAATTAAAGTGCAGGCATGCTTGCAAATCCTGCACGAGAACTTTATTCGCTTTTGGAGTAGAATGAGCTCGGCAACTAGTCGTCGGCAGAAGCCGAATATTCTTATTGCTGGTACCCCTGGTACTGGTAAAACAACAATATCCAAGCAGCTGGAAGAAATGACCCAATTCAATCACATCGAAGTTGGAGAATTTGCCAAAAAAAATAATTTGTTAGAGTCGTGGGATGCAAAGTACAATTGCCACATCATCGACGAGGATAAGGTTAAGATAGCTACAGAATGCTACGCAAATGCACTCATTATCTACAGTATGTAACACTATATACTACGAAAAGAGCAGCAATCAGCCTTGTTCCATCTCCTACTTGTAGCCTATAGCACACTTATTAGTAGAAGTATTAATTAGAACGAATAGATTTTAATGACGAGACCGAATCGTGATGCTGCAGCCCTGCCTAACTAATGCAATGAATGAAGGAACGTACTAAACTTATTAATGTATCATTAACCTTAGGTCGTTGATAAACTGGAACAAGTCGTACCTGCTGGTGGTTACATCATCGATTATCATGGCTGTGATTTTTTCCCAGAGCGATGGTTCGATGCGGTTTTTGTATTGAAAACGGATAACACTATCTTATATGATCGATTGCTAGCAAGGTATGAATCAATGCAAAGAAACGATGATAACGGTAGATTGTATAGAATGCGAGTGTTATCTACGAATATTGAAAATAAAAGATTCGGAAAGAGTGTTAGTAAAGCTGCATGTTTCGAACCTGACAGTTGTTAAGTAACTTAAGCTACACGTAAAAGCAGGATAAACTATTAGAGATAAATTGCAGTACAGTCATTCATACAGCAGATCTGCAACTGAATTCAATGGCTACATTTGGTAGGTAAAGACCAGCAGATTATTTTCTTTATTTATCTGCCTTGTCATTACGGTAAAAGTAATTTCAGCCAGATTACATCCTTTACCTGTCTGTTAATTGCGTTTAATTATTCTAGAGCGTACAAAATTCAGTAAATCACGAATTGCAATATACAAGAATTTTAGATGATAGAATATTTAATTGAATATCGCAATATCGGAAGACTTTACAATTCTATAAATCTTAATTTGGTAATTCTTATGACATTTGCTCAACGCCATTTACGATAAATAATCCTTTCATGTACCACCAATTTTATACACTGTACATATTTATCCTATGTGCAGGGGCTATGATGAAGCCAAAATTCGCGAAAATGTAGAGTGTGAAATCTTTCAAGAAATTGTATGCGAAGCACAAGATAGTTACAGAGAAGACGTAGTAATGGAACTTCAAAATGATTCACTAAAAGATATTGAAAGCAATGTTAACCATATAAGGCAGTGGATCGATAGCTGGACTGGTGTTAAGAAATAGCGGAGTATTTTTTCTCATATCAATGTATGATAGGCAAGAATCTGTTAATTTAAATTCGATGCGGTATTTGATGAAACATCCTGACCTTACCATTCATAACATTACAGACAATAATTGCCTGTTAATTGTATCTACTCTCGTCTGTATTACTGGAATATTTGTTAAATTCTATCATCATTTCTTTCTATTTCGTGAAGATTTTAATGGTCGAGTGGCATATTCGTGATATGTATGTACTTGATAGTAATACATTGTGAGCTTTCAAGTTTTAAAGGATGACGGCAAATGCGTACTGGTTTTATTTGCTCGTTAAGGTTCTTCGTTATGAAAGTGTAAAAACTGGCGTATACTCGTATATTGTAACATTTAAATTCTCGGATGGAGTCGCGCAAGCAATAATAATTCTTAACTGCATTAGTGTACATTATACCGCATGAACATTGTAGTAGGTGAAGGAAAATGAGAGATTAATCGATTTGCCATTACTCTCAAGTGGATTTATTGCACAAAATGGAGTGGTACATATTATTGTTACCGCATTAATGTTAGAAATAAACCAGATAAGAATATTTCTTGTATTCGATTGATAGTTAGCATTCATTGCCAAACCTTTGCTTCTGTAAGATGAAGCCAAAAATTAATCCTACTCAAAAGTTATACCGCATCTTACACGTTTTAAGAATTGGATTGATATATAAATAAATAAGGAAGCGCGGAGAAAGTAAAACATCAAATTTCAATTGAAATGCTGAAAATAATCTAGATTTAGGCATTACATTGAGCTACCCAGCTGCACGCCAGAATTTCAATCAGCAAGCAATATGTATGTGTTTATTTGCATGTATAACATAAAATAAAACCTTTAGAAACTGATGATTTTAGGATTATGTCAAGTAAAGTAAAGAATAATGCTTGGATCATCGAATGCAATGTGCTACATCTACATCTCAAGGTTGTAGAATCGCTCGTTATTCGGTAAAGATCTCATGCGGCTTGAGTAATGATTAGTTGATTTTCTGTGTAACAAACTATTACTAATTGAGGTTGTATGTATATCGCAAACAAATTACGTTTACTAAAATAAATTATGACTAACAGAATCAGATAAATTCGCTCGTGTTTGAAAGAGTAGATATAGTCAGCATAAGTTTACTTTCGATTCTTCAGAAATATGTTTCTTATGGTGTGTTACATCTCTTACACGATTTATTAAGATTTATATAATTCAAGCGTGATTATGCTAGAGCTAGTGAAATCTAAGCTCAATATTATTGTAACAACATTTGAATAATAAATATCGCTAGCAAATATAGACACTACAAAGCTATCACATGATTACTTAGCAATCTATGGCATAAATTAGAATTGAACTGTATATAATCGCAGCATTACAGATTGGTTGATCAATTAATTAAGCAATTTTTAATAGACTATCCTTATTATGTTGTGTACCGGTAATGTACGCATACACAGATAATTTTTACATAATCTGGATTATCGCAAAGAGGAAATGGGTCGCTAAAACGTCATTTCAAATGTTTGAAAAACATATATTGTATTAGCTCTCTAGATAATCAGGCATAAAGCTGCAGAGCGTTGTTCTCAAAATTACATAAAGGAACTACTTTAAAAGTTACAATTCGTCGCGATCAGGTTCCATTTCGTTAGACTCTTCGGTCTGGTAATGCCAGTTAGGGAAAAGTTTAGAAAATTGCCCGTAAGGTAGTTCGTGCACCTCATTAATTGATATCTTGCCATTTTTATCCTTATCAAAAGCAGAAAAAACATCGATAAATTTTATCTCGCCAACTTCACAATCCAATAGAATTTTTCTGAATTTTTGCTTGCTAGCCATTTTTCGCAGTAACATTGCATCAAGGATTTGCTTCCTAATTGCAATTTAAATCATCAATGCAAAGTTTAACTGTAAGCATTGCAAAATTCATGAGCTAAAACAATTTTCTTACACTCTAATTTTTGTAACAGAACTGAGCACACTGACGATCACATTAAGTATTTCCGGTTAATATCGCTGTATTCTATCAGTACTATACTGTATACCTAATCTACAAAATCAAAGGTTCCAATTAAAGAATTTTAGCTGAACCTTAATACTTCGTATGTTGCAAACTCGTAATCGACTGCTTTTAAGTAGGTGTTATCGTTATTATTCTTGCAAGTAGTTCGATTAAATCTTGTTAGAGGAGTCCACCACATATTTACAGCCAAGTTACTACCGTACGATCGAACATGATGAAGCCAGCTATAGAAAAAGAAAATTAGAAAATTCAGTATATGAGGATTAAGCTGGAGAAATAGTTTTAAATAAGATATCGCTGGCAGTAAAAAGGAGAAAGTCTTTACCGTGTCGCAAAAACAGTTATACATCGGCAACAGAAAACTTACTAATGAGGTATGAAAATGCAGTCACCAGCCGACAGTGTAGTTTTATATAATTCTATTTTTAGTAGATCTGAATATGTATTGAGATCAACTTTGTCAACATCCATATTGCTAAATCCATTATTATCTACGATGCCGCTATAGTCAGTATCCTGTAATAGCATTGGAAAAAGAAGCCAAGATAATTTTAAAATATTCTAATAGATAAATACTGTGTTTCTATGCTATATTCAATTCGATATTCATCACTAGTAGGCATGATTAGTGGCATCTCATCACAGTTATTATTATATTACAACCATTGCTAAATTTTATTAGCGAAATGAATAACGTAGTGCATAAGCATGAAAAATATAGAAATATCGTATTATAGTTATTAGCTACCCTATCAACCAAGATAAACTCCTTAAATCCGCGAAATAAACAGTTCAAATTGTCCGATCCATCGTTATGTAGAACTGATTTGGTGCCACCGCTGCTAAACCACATGACAATATCAAGCAATTTCTCAGCAAACCCACCGCAAGAAACGCAAGGCAGCAATCTAATATCCTCTGTACCAGTTCCATCAAATACATTTGATCAAAGTTTAAGATTTATTAAGCAAAAACAATCCCAACCGATATATCAATATCAATACTACAACATCCACAGGAAATCTTTTAATTTATTTAAAGGAAGAATTTGAATATCACTGATATAAGCAATACATCTCAAAAAAGTTTACCTCGCATTGCCATTGGAATTGTATGGACAACATACAAATCTTCCGTTTTATATGTCTTAATAAACCTCCTTATACTGGTCATAAAGTTGCCTTTGGATCTATTCTCTTTCTTTCCTTCTTCAACCAGAACTTTAATCTTGCCAAATTTCTCACTGTAGATGAATAATGATAATAACATTACATCATAACACATTGAAATATACAATATCTAAGTTATGAAGTTTGAAACAATTGCATATCACCGTATGGTTAAATTAATAAATTGGCTGTATTTTTCCAATCGTATCCGAACTAATAAGATAGTAAACTATATGCAAACCCTTTCATTAACTATACAAAAGTATTTTCAAAAACATTATCTGTAAATATTATTCTATGTTATGCATCGATTCAGTAGACTTATAATGCAACAGTTGCCTTAGGTGTTCTCATCATATCTGTCTAGGTAATATATCATTTTGACTGTATAATCATAAAAACTCTTAAACAAGGTATTAATAAATACTATCTACAAGGGTAGGAATACTTTAGGACACGATAAGCTTTAAATCCTTAATATGACACTGATAATTTAGGGCCTTCATTCATTAACTTTATCATATCGCATTGATTTTTTAATTTAACTGGCTGCATCAGGATTTAGCTTTCGTAAATTAGATTGTCTGAAAAAACTTATGACGCAGTTCAACCATCGAAATAGTACCCGACTCGTAATAAATTCTGCATATATCGATCCCTTTAAGATAACCTTAACACGATTCCGTAACAGCATCCAGCAAGGCTATTATTTCCACCTTAAGAAGCTTTTAAGACTTTGGCATACAGCCGAAAAGTATTACCATAATCCTTACTATTATTCTAAGATTGGTGTGATAGCACTATATGTATCCATATCAATAACGGGGAATATCTAAAGTAATGTATTACTATAACCATGAGATATACTACCGGAGAAAACTAAAATTGTAACATTATGTTTTTAACAGCAAAAACGAAATTTTCTTGTTTACAGTTTCTACAATCATTAATTGAATTACGTTAAATATTCATCCGTCCATAAATCAAAAGCTGGAATTGCTCTGGCTGCATTACGAAGAACCACAGGCTTACCAGGCTTTGAATAAAGGGCATAGAATATATCTGGAGTAGGCATCGATTTCAATTCAGGGATCGGTGTTAGAGCTCCATGAGATCCCAATGGTTTCATATGGCCTCTAGTAAATGCATCTGATGGGCTATGAATTTTAACGCTAGCTTGACAATAAAATGAAAACAGCATTAAAAATACTAATATCTGAACGCGAATCCTGCCTAAAGCAGTGTATGCCATTGCGCTTCAGTGGATAAGTAAGGTAAATGTTGATAACGTTTACGAACAATAATTAATGGAGGCTTTCCGTACAAATAGTCGCCACTACTACGTGACTCCTTCTAATCCCTTCACATTAATGAAACTCTTTTAAGAATTTTACTTGCTATGGTCTATTGACAATTGATCAATTAATTATTCGATCATGTCATTTTTTCTACTGCTTTATCAATATTCCGTAGACAATGAAGTATCTTTACACTACCGCTATTTAGCGGAACACTCCCATGTAACACTTGTTGCCTGGAAACGATCAGATAGCAAGGCACTGGTATCAATGCCGTTGATCTAATAATTTGCTTTACCAATTGTAATGCAATATAATTCTGTCCAAGAATTATAATAGAAATCACAATAGCTACTTTATCGTAGGAAATAATATATGTGTGCGAGGAATATGACCGAAATTAGATAATGCTTCTTGATGAAGCAGTGATCGACAATTAAGCGAGTACTTTGATTAGTAAACATCATCTTGATCAATACACGATACTGTACTAATGTGATTAGAATTGTTGGAATAAGATTACTTGGCAAATGAATGAGAAGTATAGTACGTTAGCTTCTATAATTTATCGATTGATTGATTGGTTGGCATAAATGTTAGTATAATTTAGAAATCATCTATTATGGGGAATTGAAGACATTTCGAAGTGTCGTTTAAAAGTAAATTCCAAAACGTACAAGATAAAAATATACTATACTTTATTCGCTTTTAATGTCAGATAATGTAGTACCCTAATAAATCACCGTTATCGAGACGGTCAGAAGGGTTTACTTAATCCACTTTATGAATTATCGCATGATTAATTGATTGTGCTATATTAAAGAAAATGGCCGATTATTATATGCCACGGCATATATAAAACTTCCGAATTCCCACATAACCTGCATAGTCATAACGCTAAGACGAAATTTGCGGCCAAATTTTTTACTTTTGTACCATTAATTACCTCACTAATGCAGTATACTTAGTAAATGTTTAAACACAAATCGCATTAACTGTAAATCACTTCTGGTGACAAATTTCTAAAATTTCTGGCCTTGCGTTACATTAAATATTACACTTCGTATTATAACTCGTCACGCTGAGGTTCCATTTCTTCTTCTTCTCCTTCGGGCTCGTATTGCCAATTTGGAAATAATTTTGAAAGTTGCTCATAAGGCAGCTCTTGTACCTCATCGAACGATATTGCGTCATCTTTGTTGGAATCAAAAGCTGAGAAGACAACAGAAAATTGGATTGGACCGACGTCTGATCGTTTCAATATCTTCTTAAATCCCTGCTTTGTAGCCTTTTTATGTTTTGACATGACACCAAGGATTTGATTTCTACGTTCAATATAAATTATTATGCACTGAGCCATACGAAAGCTAATGTAAAAAGTGTAGGAGGCATTGCATACTGATTTACAGACACAAAAAATGTTATATTTGCAAGAGTGTAGTTATCACCATACTAATTCTACTGCATATAATAGTACTGCAAAAAGAAAGAGCAATTTTTTGGCAGCTAAAAATAGAATTTTTCTTAATGAGTAATCCGTACCTTAATACTTCATAAGTTGCGAATTCATATTTAGCAGGGTTTAAGTAGGTATCACCTTTGTTTTGCTGACAACTAGTTTCATTAAATTTAAATAGTTGAGCCCACCACGTATTCACTGCTAAATTACTATCGAAAGATCGGACTTGATGTAGCCAACTACAAAAATTAGAAAGGTTAATGTCTGAAGGTTGATTGTAAAAATAGTTTTAATTAAAAAGATACTAGAAAGGAAAGGCTCAAGTAAAACTAGATCGTGAAGTACAAGGTAGTGCAATACAGCTTACAATTGAGGGATAAAAATGCAATCACCGGCCGATATCTTAGCTTTATACAAATCCATGTGCATTAGATCTGAATATTTCTTAAGGTCAACCTTGTCAACATCCATATTACTAAAGCCGCTATTATCAAAGAGAGCATTGTAGTTGACATTCTATAATTGCATCAAAAATAAATAAAGAGACAACTTTAAAGATAGCGGTGAAACATAAATACGTAGATATCGATTATTTGCGTTATTGAGCCCAGAATTCAATCTTTGATCATATCATTATTGGTATCTAATCATAATACCATATTTGGATGCGTCATATTGATAGCTATCAATGATACTAATAACAAAATGTTTCACATTCTCGTATAGATTAAGATTATAGATTATAAGTATTATACTCTTGTCAACCTTATTAATCATAATGAGTTCTTTAGAACCACGGAACAAGCAGTTTAAATTTTCTGATCCATCGTTATGAAGAACTGATTTGGTACCACCACTGCTAAACCACATGACAATATCAAGCAGTCTCTCTGCAAATCCACCACAAGAAACGCAGGGTAACATTCTAATATCCTCTATATGTATTATCGAATACATTTTAGTCTAACTGAAATTTTACTTATAATAAAATGCCAGCCACAACTTGTACATAGCCATTAACTAGAAATCATTTTTAGTTTAAACAATTCCAAAAAACTATTCAATAAATTATAAGGTTAACTTAATGGTATACAAGATGTTTCTTCTTCCAAAGATATAACTAGCCTTTAACAATATAAATTCCCTATTTTAACATTATTTTATGAATTGTGAAACTATTGCAATCAAATGATCATCATGTATGAAAGAAGAACAATATAACTCAAAAATCTTAATAAAGTTACGATTATACAATATACAGCATTTAATTAAAGCAAAACTAGTTTCATAAACGATATTTGACCGATAAAAGTAATATATTAGAAATATAACTAACCTCGCATTTCTTTCGGGATCGTATGAACAACATATAAATCTTCAGTTTTATATGAGCTAACAAACTCTTTTAGAGAAGTCATAAAATTCCCTTTCGATCTATTCTCTTTTTTACCTTCTTCGACTAGAACTTGAACATTACCGAATTTCTCGCTGTATATTAATAAATATTGTGACACGATTCGTGAATGTATTAGAACTTTTTAAAATATTACATTAAATTGCAAACAATTTTATACATATAACTACTAGATCTATTAAATATCAACAATTTCGATAGTAATCGAAATTAATAATAAGAAAATAATCTTAGCGTAACATATTTCATTAACTATTTATAAATATTCTTAAGACATCGTAAGTAAATATTAATTTACACCATGTACCGACACAGTACATTATTTACGGTAATGTCAAACTAGTTTACATATATTCGTTATATATTTTATTGTGCTACAGACTTGCTCCAAATGAAATTATAAAAATTGATGACAAACTAAATAATTTTAAAGTATTATAGTGTGTACATACAAATACGATATAAACTATCAGCTAACGATGAAAAGTCATTAATCGTATAATTCGATACTATCAATCTAAGATCTCGATTTGTTAACTTCTTTATAAAGTAAATCGATGTAGTTATATCTAAATCCCGGGAGTTATACTACATCCAAATACAGTATTTATAACTAATACTTTATTACTTCGTAGCCGGTCTTTAACTAGTTAATGCTATATTCTGTATGCATAGTTTATATTAAAGTAGAATCTTATATCGTTATATCATGTATAGAACTTACTCCAATCTTGTTAATTTCTAATATATTTATTACGTATATGAAAAGCTTTCATTGTATAAAACGCTAGATCAATGATTACTTCGACGTCGTTTTAGGCTATACTGATAATACAGGTCTATCTCTATAAACGAATTACTAATTGATAGATAGAAACTATCGGTACAAATTGATTATTAATAGTATGATTAATAACATGATTTAACATCTACGGCGATAATAATTCCTTTTACGACTTTTACGATCTATCAGACTATCGATTATCAAACTACCTTAGATATTCATCAGTCCATAAACTGAAAGCTGGAATCGCTTTGGCTGCATTACGAAGAATTACAGGTTTACCAGGCTTAGTATAAAGATCATAAAATGTTTTTGGATTAGGAATAGAAGTTAACTCCTCTACGGCCAAAGGTTCTCGATGAGATCCTAATGGTTTCATATGACCTTTAATGAAAGCGTCTGATGATACATCAACCGTGGCTCGACAATAATATAAAGATAATATTAAAAGTATTATCTGGATACGACTATTTCTAAAGGTAGAGTATGCCATGATACTTTGCTGGACGAAATAAAAATAAATATTTAAAGCTTTTTACGAAGAAAGACTAGGGAGTTGTTGCATAAATGCGGACGTGAGTCTTTCACTTAGATTAAATATAGCTTTTTTAAGAATTTACTTTGTCGTCGCCAGTTGACAATGGATCAATTAATTATGCAACCGAATAGTTCCTTTGGCAGATCCGTTCATAATATAGGTTACATATTGATCAGACAATAGACCATACTACTACTCTAGAGGAACACACCCATCTAACACCTGTTGCTTAGTAACAATTAAACCATTCGATGAATAAAGCATTCCTAATAAATGAACTTGTCGATTTAGTTATTTGCCTTATTGTCGGCAAAGTTGCGAAATTCATGAATGTTAATAGAAATCAAAGGGGCTATGAAGTGGCAAGCAATTCCGATTTTGAAAATGCAATAGAAATTGGATTAGACTTCACCGAAAGCAAGGAAAAGTAGTTATAGGAATATTTCTATGTACAAGTACTCCATTAACAAAAAATAATAACGATTGAATGTTGTCACATTCAGAGACAGCAATAAATGAATGAAAGATACTTTGCCTAAAATTGTTCGATCACCACGGCATAAATGATTACCCGCATAGCTAAAAAATTATCGATTTGTGAGAATTAATAACGTATAGAAATTATAAATTAAATCCAAAAATGTACACGAATGTCAATATTGTACATTAATTTAGCTACTGTACTTTAGATTAGTAGTAACATACTGTATATGTATACTAAATAAGAAAGTGAAAATTTGTAATACTTACTGCATATAACTTGACATTAAACGATTAGTATTAAAATGGTATAGAAACTACAGATAGTTTTGAAGGTACAGTTCACGAAAGCCTTCCTGACTGTATACTATTGTGATATTCTGAATGGATGCTATTTTTATTATATTGAAGATAAAGTGATAGTTCTAATTAGATGAAAGTATTACGGCAGCGAAGAAGAAAGATCGAAATTTATGCATAGACCATGTTATCTACATGCAGACTAAAGGCTTGATTATAAGTAATAAAAATACTCGTATTTTTCTATAACATTATCAGCGAAAATTTTATATACTATCGAAAAATAAGCAGCGCAGTAGTTATGATATCTAACTGAATTAGTGAATCTTAAGTAAGACTGGAAATGTTTTATCTATATCTTAAAGTTGTAATGTCGCTCTGAGAGCCTACGCAAATACACATACCGAATTATCTACCTATTGGGACTAATAATGCTTGTTTAATGATCTGCTCATCGAAGTATCGTTAACAAAAATTGTAGATACGTACAAATAGTAAAATTTGTAATTAGTAAAAGGAATCCTGATAAGACTGAATGGAAAAATTTTATATATAATATACGTATAATGGAATGGATACTATAGAAAAAATAAGTCACAGAATCTACACTCCGTGCTTTAATTTATTTCATTTTGTTACTTTTACATTGGTTTGACACGTATTTTAATAATAAGAGTACTAAATCATGATAATGTTGCACTGTCATCCGTGTATTGTGTGGTCGTAGACATAAACTAAAAGAGATCAAATATAATCGTAGAAGAATTAAAAACACTTCATCATCTTTGATCATCACAATTTATGCGTATTGATTGAGTGCATGGTTTAAATAAAGTGGCTTAATCATCTCGGTATACAGCATGTATAAATTTCGACACCACCTTACCCAGGTGAAGACAATTTTCAGAAGAAGTGAAAAGTTAAAATACTGCTTTGATACACAGTGTGAGCGGGGACGTACGGTAGTAATTACTAAAATATAGTATATTCCTAGCAACGCTTGAAATATACATATATTGCAATAATTTCATAATGATTAAGTCAGATACTTTGCGCCAGTGTCCTTATAATTTTATAAAAATTATAGCTAACATTACAATTCGTCACGTTCAGGCTCTAGTTCCTCAGCCTCTTCAGATTCGTAATTCCAATTTGGAAATAATTTAGAAAACTCTCCATAAGGTAGGTCTTGCACCTCATCAAATGATACTACGTCATCTTTGTTGGAATCAAAAGTAGAGAAGACGGCTGGAAACACAATTGGTCCAACCTCACATCGTGTCAATATTCTCTTAAATGTTTGCTTTGTCGCCCTTTTACTTTTTGGCATATAATCAAGGATTGAATTCCTGTAATAAAGTTAAATTATTATACATTCAGTCCGATAATAGTTAGCATAAAAATCTAGTAAATATATCATAGCATAAATATCCTTGTTACACCCACAAATTTACAGCATAGAAATGAATTATAGTTATAAGATTTATTCAGTTGGTATTATTGAAGCTCAAGGCTGTACACTTCTTCAAAGAGAATAATTTAATTCGAACCTTAATAGTTCATAAGTTGCAAATTCGTAATCAGCTGTATTTAAATAGTTGACATCCTTATTTTTCTCGCAACTACTTTCATTAAATTTTAATAGCTGAATCCACCACATATTCACAGCCAGGTTACTGTCGTAAGATCGAACTTGATGAAGCCAACTATAAGGAAAATTAGAAAAGTTCATCAATAAATCTTAAGTTAAAACAACTTCTAGTAGAATCAGTGATAAAAGCAAAAGGGCCAATTATAAATATTACTGTATCATAAAATATGGGAATGGAATTTTGGCTTAGGACTTACAATTGGGGAATAAAAATGCAATCACCAGCCGACATCTTGGCTTTATACCACTTCATGTGGATCAGATCAGAATATTTCTTGAGATCAACTTTATCGACATCCAAATTACTAAAGCCATTATTGTCAAAGATTGCATCGTAATCAACATTCTATAACAGCATATAAGAAATCAAAAGAAAAGACAATTCAAAAAAATGTAGTAGTAAATGGATGTTTAAATTTACTGTATGTTTATAATATTTAGCTTAGAGTTATTTTACATGACGAATGTATAATTGCAACATTTTTTAATAAGCCATTTCAAAGTCTATTGTCAAATCTAATTAACGAGACTAACGTGAAAGATCTTACGACCTTATAGAATTATATTAACTGTTATGTACCTTATCAATCATAACAAGTTCTTTAGTACCACGAAATAGACAGTTAAGATTTTCATATCCATCATTATGAAGAACTGATTTGGTACCACCACTACTAAACCACATGACAACATCAAGCAATTTTTCAGCATATCCACCGCACGAAACGCAAGGCAGCATTCTAATATCCTCTACGTATGTAATAACAAATAAAATTAATTAAATTAAAGTTTATTTGCGATGGTAAGTATACGCCATTTAGTGCGTAATAGTTACATGAATATATCGCCAACATAAAATGATACTGAGATCTTATGATTTATTTTACATTGTTAAGGACATCTTGTCTATGAAGTTATAATGTCATCAAATTTATTATTTATTAAACCTAGAGTATCGAATCCTTTATCATATGTCAATTTAGCGATTTATTAATAGCAGATGAAACTTTAACTAGATGACTACCAGAGTCTGAATTAATAAATGCAAGAAGTAATAACTGGTAAAGTAGAGAGGATATTTAGATTGTGCCAAGCTTATTATAACTACTTTGATCCTAATGTAGAGTCATAATGCATTTAAAGTTAGCGATACAGCTTACCACGTGTAATATTTCGACAAAAATTTCTAAACTGACTTCATAACGATATTTGACCGATAAAAGTAATATATTAGAAATATAACTAACCTCGCATTTCTTTCGGGACCGTATGAACAACATATAAATCTTCAGTTTTATATGAGTTAACAAACTCTTTTAGAGAAGTCATAAAATTCCCTTTCGACCTATTCTCTTTTTTACCTTCTTCGACTAGAACTTGAACATTACCGAATTTCTCGCTGTATATTAATAAATATTGTGACACGATTCGTGAATGTATTAGAACTTTTTAAAATATTACATTAAATTGCAAACAATTTTATACATATAACTACTAGATCTATTAAATATCAACAATTTCGATAGTAATCGAATTAATAAGAAGAAAATAATCTTAGCGTAACATATTTCATTAACTATTTATAAATATTCTTAAGACATCGTAAGTAAATATTAATTTACACCATGTACCGACACAGTACATTATTTACGGTAATGTCAAACTAGTTTACATATATTCGTTATATATTTTATTGTGCTACAGACTTGCTCCAAATGAAATTATAAAAATTGATGACAAACTAAATAATTTTAAAGTATTATAGTGTGTACATACAAATACGATATAAACTATCAGCTAACGATGAAAAGTCATTAATCGTATAATTCGATACTATCAATCTAAGATCTCGATTTGTTAACTTCTTTATAAAGTAAATCGATGTAGTTATATCTAAATCCCGGGAGTTATACTACATCCAAATACAGTATTTATAACTAATACTTTATTACTTCGTAGCCGGTCTTTAACTAGTTAATGCTATATTCTGTATGCATAGTTTATATTAAAGTAGAATCGTATATCGTTATATCATGTATAGAACTTACTCCAATCTTGTTAATTTCTAATATATTTATTACGTATATGAAAAGCTTTCATTGTATAAAACGCTAGATCAATGATTACTTCGACATCGTTTTAGGCTACACTGATGATACAGGTCTATCTCTATAAACGAATTACTAATTGATAGATAGAAACTATCGGTACAAATTGATTATTAATAGTATGATTAATAACATGATTTAACATCTACGGCGATAATAATTCCTTTTACGACTTTTACGATCTATCAGACTATCGATTATCAAACTACCTTAGATATTCATCAGTCCATAAACTGAAAGCTGGAATCGCTTTGGCTGCATTACGAAGAATTACAGGTTTACCAGGCTTAGTATAAAGATCATAAAATGTTTTTGGATTAGGAATAGAAGTTAACTCCTCTACGGCCAAAGGTTCTCGATGAGATCCTAATGGTTTCATATGACCTTTAATGAAAGCGTCTGATGATACATCAACCGTGGCTCGACAATAATATAAAGATAATATTAAAAGTATTATCTGGATACGACTATTTCTAAAGGTAGAGTATGCCATGATACTTTGCTGGACGAAATAAAAATAAATATTTAAAGCTTTTTACGAAGAAAGACTAGGGAGTTGTTGCATAAATGCGGACGTGAGTCTTTCACTTAGATTAAATATAGCTTTCTTAAGAACTTACTTTGTCGTCGCCTGTTGACAATGGATCAATTAATTATGCAACCGAATAGTTCCTTTGGCAGATCCGTTCATAATATAGGTTACATATTGATCAGACAATAGACCATACTACTACTCTAGAGGAACACACCCATCTAACACCTGTTGCTTGGTAACGATCAGCACTGTACTAGTTGATGAGTAGAGCGTATGCATTAATAATGGATCGCTGATTCAATTATAGCTAGTGGCCTTATTATATGATAAGTTATTACATACATAGATAATAATAATAATAGTTACAATACTTATTAATAGAAAGATATTAGTGAAAGGATGGAAGATTGGTTAGATTGCATAGAAAGGTAATGACTGATAGCCATAGTACCGTACTAGATGACAAACCCTGAGTACAATCTGATAAATGCATACTGTTGCATCGAAATCATCTAACCAATGAATAAATAATAACAGTTTGACTTTTGAAACTTTTCAATTGATGTAAAAATTTTACATATTTCGGTAAACAATCAGTTTTGGAAATTGAGACCGTCTAAAAATATGGAAATAGAACCAAATGAGTAACGTACTATATTAGTTCAGGATGAATGCGTGCATTAAAAATTAGACTACTGTAGGGCAAGTGAATAAGATATCAAAAAATTAGTTAAGATGAATCGGTAAGCAAAATTTATAAAATTTATTTTAGTATTTTAAAAGTAATAAAGTAGCAATTGCCAAGAAAATTATGTACTGGATTTATAAACGATACTCAATATATCTAGGACATTTACTAGCAAGAGCTAAAGTGCAATTACCTAGTAGTTACAAGATGGGATTATGTACAAATTAGCGCATCATCATCTAGTCTAATGTCAGTTCAAGGTGCAGTATGATTCTGCGATATTCCTTTTAGAACGTTCTGGTATCGTAATAGTCTGAATGCTACGTTTAAAGTTCGTATTTTGTGTAATAAACACGGTCTTTGGCCGAACGTGTTTGGTATGCAATAAACAATGTCATAAAATAATAGCGCATAGTTTTCACATAATCAGTCACAATTAAATTATCCTAAGAAAATGGATAACAAATATCTTACACCAAAATTATTCGAGCAATCTTCATTATTTGAACCTGAACATCAGATAGCCTATCGGTTTCGAGTAATTTAATGTAGGGGATATCGCTACGTGGAGCAACAAATATGAATCATTCTAATTACGTGTATAGTCGTACAAACGTTATCCTTTTAAATTTAGCTCATTTATTTTAATTTAAATTTCCATGGTAGCCAATCATTTCGTGTTGTGCCTTTAATTCTACAAGCATTCCGTAATCTATTTTCTAGTTAATTGCTACTTTGCAAATGTAAGTACAAAAATTTGGAAATAATACTCTTCAACTATGACTGTTCAATGCTGTAAAACACAACACTGGGTATTGTAGATGATTCAGTATATGACAGTTAATAAATAGCTTTAAGCTATATTTCGAAAACAGTAAAAGTATAACAGGCGTAAAATCCATGGAGTAGAATGGCAAAATATTACACGTTATCTAACATTAAAGTTTTACATTTTGACATATAGAAGTTAAGGTATTGGTATTACATTATTTATCTGCACTAGATAACAACTCGTTCAGTTGAACGGAATGTTTGAGTTTGCTTATGCTTCCTTAGCTGCTTTGATACTTTAAGCACAGTTGCAGAAAGGTAAATTAGCAGGACTAAGTACATGGTAGAGTACTCGTATAAATACTTTTCAAGACGTGTGAGTGTTAGTAGGAGCTGAATAACATTAGCGAAAGAACGAATTGCATATCCTATGCTCAAGTAACAGGAAGGTAATGATCAAGCATAGCAAAAGCATTCTCGATTGATAAATTGTAATGCGGATGTTTTATTCATGCCAACTTGTTAAAGCTTTGCTACCATAAACTTATACCCAAAGGCGTCGCAGCTATATGAGTGCATGCATACTATACTTTATATGCACGTCCATTTCGAGCTTCAAGCTCCGTGCTATGTAGTAGGTTTGACTGGAAATGATGCGATATTTGTGACTTTTTCCGTTGGATTATGTCTTACTTATGACACACAAAGTAACCCCACACAATATCAGCGATGTACCTAACCATAATCTAATGCCACCATTTAATTTCTCTCCTAAATAGTACCCGGTTAAGGCAGTAAATACAAACGTTAAGGAGTTAGCGACAGGAATTGCAAGAGATAAATCAGCTTTTGACAGGGTAACATAATATATTAAGGATCCGATCTGATTGATGAGAATAGGGTAAAATCTTTTCCAGTTTGTCACTAGGTTCTTGAAATCGAGATAGAAATTGAACAGTCGATTGGATCCTTTATCCAACTTGGCTTGGTGAGGATTATCATTAGCCTTTTTAATAAGAGGATTAGTGCAACCCCAAAAGAGAGATACCACTATAAACGATATTGTACATTCAATGATATCATTAAGAGGCATCATTTGAACGTTGCAATGCCAAATTGTGTTGATCAAGGATGTTTTTACGCCTAATTGAACTCTTTTTAATCTTCTTAACCTTAATGTTGCTACAGTACAGTACTGTAGTGTATAGTACAGTACAGTGTACAGTACATACACTACAGTGCATGCCAGTACGTACTGTACATTGTACAATATCATTGAAGGGAACGGAAAGAGAGTGCGCAGTTACTCGTAGACGGGAACGTGCTAAAGTACTGTACATCTTTCATTCTACAGTACAGTATAACAGAGTGTAATTTTAAAAAATCTTTTGGGGAACATTATACAGTACTGTACTTATTCATCCCATACGTCATTCATTGCATTTCCGTTGCAGATTTTACGCTACAGTAAGCCTCCAAAAGATCAATCGTTATGAACCTTGACTCAATACTGTACAGTACATATTAAAACCATGCATTTGCGATCGTGCTTGAACGAATTGATGCGAAAATTGTACTACCGAATGTACTGTACATTGTACAGTACAGTACACTGTACGGTAGGTTGTGTTGGTGAAATACCAAACTTCACCCCCAACCACTAATTATCTAGCTCAACTCTTTAAACTACCGACAATGATTGTTTTTTGGATGTTACTTTGTTTAAAATCGAGCGAAGACTGTTTTAAGAAGGTGAGGTGGAGGAAATTTGGATGCCTCCATCTCAGTCTTCATATTAGTTGATAGCAATGATATCATACGGTATACGATACAGTAAGTCTAGGTACACTTGTACACTCGACCGTACTCGGCTTACCGCGAATCTAATAAAAAAAAACTATGGTTTATAGTACTGTACTGTAGCCTATATTCTGTACCGTACTGTACTGTGTACAGTACATGCACCTCTAAACGGCCTTGGTGCGCTGTACCGTACAATGCAACTGGACTTACTGTATCGTATCCTGTACGACACTATTGCTATCTACAGTACTATAAAGAAAGAATTAGATTGGGGCATCTGAAAATTTCCTCCACTTTCCCCCTCCTAAACCAGTCTTCGCTCGATTTTAGCTGAAGTAATTTTGAAAAAAATTGGATAGTCGATAATTTGAAGAGTTTAGCTAAATTATTATTCATTCGGCGTAAGGTTTCCTTTTTCAGCAATACAGCCTAGAGTACTGTAGACTGTACAGCACAGCATGGGATATCCGATCACGTCGTACTGTGTACTGTAAGCTGTACTTCAGTGCTAGTGTCTAGAGATCTTCATGGTCTGGTCTGGTCAAAGTCTGCGCCAGACTATGAAGATCTCTCCACTGTACTTGTTTCTGTAAAGATAAAAGCCACGATAATGTCCAAAATCTTAGCTAAACGACTTCATATCATTCCATACTGAACTGTACTCTCATTTTACGGTAAAACGATCGCAACAGTGGTAATAAATATACACGCTAACTGCTAGCCATTGATGTATTACTATTAGTAAATTATCAATAAAATGAATACCATACACATATACTGTACAGTAGAAACCCTTTTTAGAGAAGGGTCTCTACCTTACGCCATTGACGTGGTTACTTATTAATTATTTACTAAATGGAAAACTTGCTGTAAATAGCTGCAGGATAACCATTACCCTCTCACGGCCATGGACTAGAAACACTCGAGTGCTAGATCTAGATGCATCTAGGAGTGCATGTTACCGTATTAAAGGTTAATTAATGGTACTCAAATGCTCTCATACCATACTGTACTGTACACTGAATAGACTAGATTAAAAGTCTTTACACGATCACTTTCAGTAAAACACAACGTACAGTACAGTACGTGCGTGAATTGCGTCAAACGGAGTGCGTTACCAATGCAGGTGTAAACTATAGTAACCGGTTCGCACTAAAAAGTGGTTCGGTTCAGAACCGAACCGAACCTGTGACAGGTCTACAGTACACTGTACAGTGTACAGTACAGTACTGTACGAGTCTACTGTACAGTACAGTACGTCTTCTTTCAGACTTTGATATTAAAATTATTATTGTTAATATTATTATATTATTATTGAGAAGAATTCAGTAAAGGAGGTACGAGAAGAAGCAAGATAGCTCGAGCAAGTTTTGTATCATCACCTTGCATTACCTTATCAAGATTTCTCCGATGAGACGCTAATCTGCGCAGACCGGGCCAAAATAAATGTACAAAGCCTATACACGTGCTTTCTTAGATAGCCTGATCGAGTGAAAACCTAAACTAACAACCAATCCGATATTACTGACTTTTGCCTGCGTTACAAAAGGGGAGCATGGAATTACTACCAGAAGAAATCTTAGCACAAATATTTGGCTTTTTGCCTGGGTACAAGCTACCTATTTTAAAATTGGTTTGCAAAACTTTTCGTGATGTCATCGATCATAATGAAGTATGGAGTTATGTCATCAATCATGAATTGACAGCAAATCCCATGTTACTAAAAGGAGACTCTTATCAAACATATTACCAACGTGCATTCCTTGGACCCAATCGCACTGCAAAACGATATTGCATTGAATCGCATAGCGCCTTAAGCACCCTTGAAGAAAGGGTTGGTTGGCTAGCAGACTTGGGCTATAAATTTTTCGCCATAAACCTCCAATTGGCCGATCATCAAGATGTACCAGATCATAGACGAATGCTAGACTTTGCTGCTAAATTTGGCTATGAAGTTCTTGGTCGAAAATTAATCCAGATATTGAATAACCACAAGGATGACTCGCTTGAGTACGATAAATGTTGGTTGAGTCCCTTCGAAACTGCACTGCATTCGAATCGTTTCCACTTTGTTGAAATGTTACTTCATAATCCAGGACCACTACAAAATCCATGGATTCTTGAATCTGTCGAATCTGTACCCACTAGTACTTTTAGCAGTCATGTCAATGTTCTGATTTCCAGTGGTGAAGATGGTAGACAGCTTTTGTTACAATATCTACTGCAATTTAAGATGCCAACTTTACACAGAGCTGTTATTACTAGAGATATGGAAAAAATACAAAATGCTATCAAATCTGGTGCGAAAATTAATGAATGTGATAAATACGATATGTCGCCATTGTCATATGCGACAATGCTTGGTTACAGGGAGATTATAGAAGTGCTGATCAATTATGGTGCCAAAATTCGCGAGGATATTAACAACTCATTTGTGATCGCTATGAGAGAAGAAAATCTTGAAATTTTTCAAACTTTAGTTAGAAGAGATACGAGTGAGCGAAGTCTTCTTTATGCCATTTGTCGAGCTGTCAATGAGGGCAAACAAACCCATTTAGACCTTATCAATGAATATGGACCGGAAAATATTGGTGAGTGCGTTCGAAAGAACATCGTATCGATTATGAAGTATCGATTAGATGCCGAATTGCCTTTGCTGAAGCCTTTGTATGCAACCAAGTTGTCGTTTACGAAACAACAGCTTACTACAATAGTCCGTTTAATACCACACATGTTTAACTTTAAATCGATAAAGTATGACTATTATGATTACTCCAGTTTTATTGTGTTGGTTAACTATATGAGTAACAATCCGACCTTTCCTATGAGTATTGCAGAGCGACTACCATGCTACCAGTTTATTACATTCTTTTTGGAGCTACTAAAGGATAAAGAACTTCAGGAATGTTGTAAAATTTTATTCTACTTTGTGATTGATAATCGATCTTATAAACTCTTCAAGCCTGACTTACAAGCTGTCTATGATTGCATTACTATAATCTATTTACAAACGCTGCTGAAAGCCTGCAATAACGAAATTGATGTAAACGAGCCTTCGTTGACTAATAACCAAACACCACTACATGTCGCAGCAAAGAATGGCCAACTAGATATAATAAAGCTCTTATTAGATAATGGTGCTGAACGTGACCTTGCGGATGGTTCAGAAAAAACCGCAGCTGAATTGACAACTGATTATCGATGTAAAGAGTTGCTTGCAGCTTAAATGTTATACAATCTGTTAGCGTTTACCCATTTCTTGTTCATAAAGGAAAGAATTTCATAGTTGATGTTGTTATGCTTGCCAAATTCAGATTGAATGTTCGAACTAGACTAGTTCTGTTCGTTGCACTTGTCCACAGGAAATGTTCACCTAGGACTTTTATATGTTGCGTTCACCTCTGGTTGTTAGAAAATATGGTACTACATCATATGCCTATCTATCTATTGCAGTTACAATGAGTCAATCCATTACGTCATTTATCAATAACCACTACATTACTGTTGCTATTGCTGTAAGAAATTGATAGTAAATGTTGTTTCGTATCGCTGTGAGATCTGATATTTACTAACAGCTATAGCAGTCTAGACTATGACTGCTTGAATAGCATAGCTGCATTACTATCAACTAACGCATATAGGCAAGCATAACTTGATCTACTACTAATTACAGCGTTGCGATCTGTTGTACAGTACAATAGTATGCAGTCAAAAATTATACATATAATGATTAGAATCGTTATCCGCTCAATACAGTATTATACTGTACATTAATAATTAAAAATGTATTTGCATTTTGTCAATGCTACGTCAAATTTACGAATTCTAAATTGTTAAACTATTTGGATTTCATCAGTTTAATGTACTTGATATCTTTTACTAAGGATTAAAACGTTCTGTAAACTGTAACCTTTATTTCTTTATTGATCGTCGTGCGATTTCCAATTGAAGATTTTTGGTTGCAAATGAATTAATATTAATATATTAATTATATAATTATAATTTAAAGTAAAAAGTACAAGTAAGTACATACAGACTATATATATATATATATATATATATATAACAGTACGCGAAGTATAAAAGAGCATGGGCCTACTAGTATTTTTCATTTTTACGATGTTCTGAGGACCAGGAGTCAAGTCTATTTTTAAAGTAGTGGTGTTCAGCCTCTGAAGACAGGGTGGATTTCGAATAAAGTCTAAAGCATTGTACTGTACAGTTCTATGTAAGTACAATAGTACAGTACTGTACTAGAGACTTCTTTTCTTACAAGTCCCTGAGTGCGCAGTATACCGCATTCACCAAGTGCCATCTAGCCTCTATGATCGAGGTAATAAAAACATTTAAACTGTTTCAAATAAAATTAAATCATCAATCGACTACGAAATTATCGTAGATTTGAACTTACAGTACAGTACAGTACAGTATGCAAATATAACTTGAAAAACGTCCAAATAAGGATCGAAGTGCTCATTTAACATTACAATGACCATATATAGACATTGATCAACCATTGTTCTCTCTAAATATAAAACTATACAATTTCATGTTCTCCGAGAGGAAAACAACGTACGTAAGGTACGGTGGTCAATGTAGCGTTGCGGCCCTGACAGTCAGTCGTAATACGGTATTATTTTAGATTCGGGATTCTAGGTTAATGAATAAGCTAATTAATTATTTATGCGGTAATACCCCGTAATTTTTAGATAAAATTAATGACATCATCGGTGTGCGACTAAATAACTGTGATGGTAGAATTTTGTAAAACTTCAATCTTTTACTCCGAATTTGGTTAGAAGAAAATGTCCTAAGATCCGAAAAATGGTGCGTGTATACAGGCATACATTCGGATGGTAACGGCAAGACATAGCTTTGGAAAGATCTGTTGAACTTGTGTTTCACGTCAGTAAGCAAAATTCATAATCAGTTTGTAAAAGTTTATAAGAATGAATGATTGAGCGTCAATCGTAGTCTGCAATCGTACAGTACAGTTATGTTGATAGGAATTACTACGATGTAGTACAAAAGACTTACTATTTCTTGGTACCTTATAATATTTAGATCCAGACAGGAGAAACTGGATATACACGAACTCTATTTTTAGCTCGTCGATAAATACTTCTCCTTATGACTGAAGTTGAAAGACCTAGTTGCTATTATCCAATCACAACACGTTAGTTTGTATATGTAATTGTGCATAGCAATGCACACTAGAGGTCTACTGCACAGTGCACACTGCACAGACTTCCTGTAATGATAAGTCGTTAATGAGCGGTACTGTGTTTTACAGAACTAACTTGCGCATAAATTTGTGATTTTGATATAATAGCACAGTAATAATAACGGGAAAAAATGGTATAGTTCAAAACTATACACTACTGTACTAGTACGTACAGCATACAGGGATTACATGTGTATACTTTTATTTGTAGACTACTCATGCTTTCAAGTTAAGATTACGTAATGGTAATACATGCAGAATCATGACAGAATCGCCAGTTGATCAAGTTACGGTATACAGTATAGTAAATATTATAGGTTGGTCATTAAAATGCCAAACATTTACTTGTCGGTGAGCATTTACAAGTTCCTATATAGTAACTAAAATATGAACTCAGTGAACTTATAAAGTGTGTAAAAATAAGCTACATATGTACAGTGTACTGTTGTATACCCGAGATTTAGAGTTTCCTATTGGAGAATATTAATGAAGCACGTAACCTATTTTTCAAAATTTGCTTTTCTTCACTCTTTACTAGTTTTGCTATTACAGAGCACAGCAATTTAAACAAATTAACGAAATAAATTGATTGATCAAGATGGATAGGCAACTCTAATATTAATAGTTCAAATAAAGTTGTTGGACTAAATTATTACGTGATAATTATAGTTTATTATAAGCAATTACAATTTATTTATAACGATTATTTCATTTTAGTCCATTTTATCAAGTTATAAATAAATTTATATTATCACTCTTACGGTATAAATTAAAGCAACATTTGTTATGTGTGACAGACTTGTAACGTCTAGAAATTAGGGCAGGTAAACTGCATAACTACTTAACCGATAAGATAAACGTATACAGTAATATCAATATCGTAATTATACGTATTGACTCGTTCACTATAAAAAGTGGACTTTACGCTTTATGCTACTTTGTAGTGTCTAACCTTGTCTAGTGTGATTGATGTAGTGTCACAAGAGAAAATATAACGATATTAGCTATTCTTTGCATAATATTTGCCCTATTAACCGAGTTAGTTTACTGTATTTCGATGTAGCATACGAGAGGGGCTACGCATTCGACATTCAATGTATTGAAGCTACTATCTTTTCGAATGAATAATTATAGTAATTCGTGAACTACCTCTATCCAGTATTAGTTAACTTATAATACAGTATTTCAAATTATATTGTATAATGACGGCTTATAAATATGTACGTATTTGTTAAGATGATAGCTTGCATAGCTTATAAGGTTCAATTGCAGCTAATCCTTATTCTAATTCGTACCACATTAATCCTCGTACGATTGATATCGCTATCATTTACAGTATACAATGTAGTTATAGTCGAGAGCTACTAATGTTTTTCACTGGTTAATTGTTATTAAAATGACATTTTATTTACTACGTTATTATATTAATACATATACTTTGAATAACGTTGTGTTTATAGCGCGTCGAAGGTGGCGTTCATATTTTTAGAACATTACAATATTTGCTTCCCGAGTCCTTCGAGAATTGAAATAATGACGTAATTATTTTCCAGTTGGGCCGCTGCAGTAGTAGGGTAGCTCAAACATTACTAAACACCGAATACATTGCCATCTTGTACTGTACTGTACCCTGTGCAGCTGTTACAATTTGAAAACGACGACGATTGTACTCTGTACTGTACTGTACTGTATGTGTTTACAGTACTTGATGGAAAGTACTTTTCACTGTACGTACTGTACTGTAATAATGTATGCTAACTGTACCGCGCTAGAGAATAAGTATTACTGTACTGTATCGCAATTTAACACAGTTGCGTGAGGGATTTATCCTACAAAATTTGGAAGCCCGTTTAGTTTTTGCCAGTTGTGCCAGTTGAACTTTCTTGCTCGGAAGTCTAGATTTCATTGACCGAAATAAAACCAACACTGTGTTATCCGTTCATTTCACGTGTACAACTATTAGACCTTTGCAAGCTCTGTTTACACTTTAGATTCAAGTTATTACTGAAAGTAATTACGATTCAGAAGTAGGATATGGCTGATTCAAATCCATTCGCCGATAGCGAAGGAGACAATCCTTTTGCTGTAAGTCAAAAATGTTCAGTGATTACATTCTCGTTTTCGTTCTATGCTATGCTGTTGTAGTAGGTAAGAGTACAATAGAATAGTGATAACAGGATACCTCGTTGCTTAATATCATGTTCTGTAGTGCTGTTGTGGTAGATTCTTCATTTTCAATGATATATATTTTTTAGCTTGCAGCGGTACACTAGTGCGGATCTGTAGTGCTCGGTACTTGGTACTCACTGTGCTCAACTTTTACTGCACATACTATAGAACTGGAAGGAATGATTTTATGCGTTGATACAGTCAGTACCTTGTATGTGTTTTGTCTGGCGTTTATCAAAAATGATACTGCACTTATTTGCCTTCACATAGAAATTTGAAAAATTTCAATCTTTTAAAACCCTTACTGTTGTTAACGAAATAACTTCTGCTTGACTGATGCTATCCACTACAATGCATTCATTGTAGCCATTACAGTTTGTCGCTTTAGAATTTGTAGCTGCTCTACTGTACTGTAGTGGTAGTGGATAGTTAGTATACGAGTACAGTATACTATACGTGTTGACTCTGAAGGAAGGAGCGATAGACTTGACTACTGGAAAACATTGTTCTCTTACGTTTGCGTATTCAATTGAAAGTATTTCTTTCTTTTTACGCAAATAATCTTAACTACACAATTTTGTTACTACTTAAAATTGCTTGTGAAGATGTAGTGTGATCCAGTTGTACTTTATACTCGCATACTATACAATACTATGGATTAATAAGTACGTTTCGGACAGCTACTTAAATTAGTTATCTGCCATACGGTACAATGACGCAAAAGCTAGCTAAGCTACCTTGACTGCGAACAAGTTTTGATTCTAGTCATTAAAGACGTGAGATATAGAGTAGTCTGACTGCACACTACATGTCTGATCTTAAGCTCGAAAAGCAATGTAGCGCCATGTACTACATAACATGTATCAACATGTTGACCCATGACATTCAAAGATAGAGATGATTTAATGTTGAACCTCAGCAATTTGTCATGGCAAGTCGTCAACTCACTTTTCTTATGCTGTGCATGAAAATAGTAAATGATATACTAACTATAGCACGTATGCGCTAGCATAGTGGTCAACGATGTTACTCGCTATTAATCTATATTATTTCGAACTTTAATATTTTTGCTGCAAGTTTGTTAAATTAGTTATAATGCTTGTGAGTTTTAAAAATGCAAGTTGTACTGAAGTTATATGATACACACCTGTCAGTTTTACTGTGATGATATTGCAATATCTTAGACATGATTCATGATTTTAGGATCCGTCGATCACCTCCCATACTACTGCAGCCCAGAGTGCTTTGGAAGGACGTCAAAATCCCTTCGGCGAAAATACAGTCAGGGCGTCAACGGTAAGTTACGCAACGATATAATAGTTGTAATGCATCAAGACAAATGGTATTGTACGTACACCGTGTGAACGCATCCTTAATTTAAAGTAGCTAGCACTACGGTCCTATCCTTAATCGTTTCAGCTTACCGTACCTTAATAATATCACCGAATATCATCATTATTGATTTCAATTAAACTGCCACAGTACTTTTCTGAACAATTAAATATTTCGATTATATGTGTAATGAATAACAAAATCTCTAGTATGAAACGTATTAGAGAACGAGATTGTAATAAGAGCGCTTATTACGTGGTGATACAGAAATGTTGCTTGCTACGATTCCAATCTTATAACTATCGATTAAATGCAATAACTAACGATTTTGCATTGCACTTGACGCGTTCATTGTACAATAGCTGCGCATGCCGTAACTTACAGTTACCACTGTACGAAATTCACAATTTGCCATAATTCTTGATTTACTACTACTAAAGATAAGGAAAATTTAGTCGCGCTGATTTTTAGGGTCTTTTAATTTTTATTAGCCTTTTCTTAGTAGCAGGAGACAGTTATATTTTGGTAAATAAAAACTTAATCTAATTTTCCCCTTATGTTTATTTTAGATGACTGCTTCAAATTCTACTGTTGCTCGTGAAAAATCGCCTGCCACTGAGCAACGTACGTCATCACCTGGCTCGAGACAGGAACCTAAGCCTGAGCCAGCTGTCATGGAAACGAAACCAGCTGATCCTCCTTCTTATCGTGAAACTGCTTCGGTGAGTTGCCTGTTGAGCATAAGTGATCGATCGGACTATGACTCAAAACTTGCCGCACTATTTTTAGGTGTTGAAAGTTATGAGCATTTGTGTGATTATGACATTACGATAAATATGTATTGTGTGCAAATAATGTATTTTAAAGATATAGCTGGATTGTATCATTAGATATTATCAAGTGTCATCATTGTATTAATAATAATAAATAAGTAAATAGTAAAAATTTCAGTGCTTGTTAGTGTAACTTAGATTACTACAATTTAAATTTGGGTAGGATTCTTAACTTGCCTATCCTTTATCTTTATGTATCAATAGGCGCAAGTAAACGACTTTTACTCCAGAGAACAGGTTAGTAATACCTGACTAAACCTGGTTATTCGCTCCTAGTCATTAGCGGTTGTCATTATATAACTGGATCGATATGATAGCATGGTGTTATGTTATTAATTTTATTTTAAACAGGTAGTTCTTAAGAGTTTTACCGTTGTTGCTAATTGATATTTTACATGTTTTCTGTGTTACCGAACCATAGGAGTTAGAACGAAAAGCAGCTGAATTAAAGAGAAAAGAAGACGAACTCAAAAGATCTGCTGGACCAGCTGACGGTAAAAACGCAGAATCTATCCTACTGCAGTTTTCTATTAATTTTCAGAGACTACAGAGCTTCATTTTAGTTTTAGCTGAATTAGTCTTTGATATTCTTAAGAGTTTGATGATAATGTACAGCCTTCTAACCAGGCGAAAATACAAAATTGTTTCACAATTTATTGAATTGCCATCTTCTACACGTATAGGAGCGAGACCGAATAATTTTCCACCTTTACCAAAAAAATGCTGTGTGCAGCCATGTTGGTATCATGATATTGGCGTGGATATACCTGTGGAACATCAAAGGCTACAAAGAATAATATACTATCTATGGTTTGGTGAGTTTAATATATATGGTCATTCGTCGGGTCATATTTCTATCTAAAACTGTATGACTTGATTCTTACATGATTGATTTCTTTGTCTTACAGCATACGTTTTCTTACTAATGTATAATATGATATGTGGTATTGCGGGGATGGTGCTTGGCATGGATAATGGCGCACTTAATTTTGCTTTATCAATTGTTTGGTTCGTTATATGGTCACCATGCTCAATTTGTTGCTGGTACCGACCTATTTACAAAGCATTTAGGTTATTAATTAAGACCATTGATATGTTGATCTGCAATGGTACAGTATTGCCCTTCTTAAGTTGACGCTAACTTATAAAAAATCTGTGTTTTTACAGGGATGACAGCTCTATGAATTTTATGCAATTCTTCTTCGTGTTCTTTTTTCAAATCATATTTCAATGCGTATGGATTATAGGTCCGGCTGGATCAGGTACTTGGTAAGTTGCTCATTGTATAAGCTTCCTTACAACAAGCAAGGAAGGAAAATGAATAATTTGCTCAATCATTAATGTATATGATCTTTTTTAGTGGTTTTATAGGCGGCGCAATGGCTCTTGATAAGAAACAGAAGCCACTCGCAGCCATGTATTTTATTTGTGCTATCTTAGCAACCATTATAACAATTATTCAAGTTTTTATCCTGAAGAGGGTACGAAACTTTACGCTCTTGAAGAGTTTTAGGATTATATAACTGACTGCTGATCTACAACTAATCAGTTACTTACCGGTAATTTTGCAATAGGTCCATTTTATATATCGTACCACCGGTGGAAGCGTAGGGAAAGCACGAAGTGAATGGACTCAAGGTGCTGTACAAAGTGATTTTGTTAAAGATGCTGTTGCAGGTGCTGCAGCAACGGCTGCTAGAAATGCTGTGGATAACGCAGGCAGAACCGAATATGGTGCTAATTACAGTGGTAATAGGTATTAAATATTTTCCATCGAATCGAGCTATCAAAGTTGCAAGTAGCTCTGGATTGAATACTAGCAACATGCTATGGCTTTTGGTGTGCAATGCACTTATGATCTGTACATAAACACGATGTAGCTAACGGTTTAGCTTAGAAGGGTTTACTAATATTGAAGTATTTCATGTTCAGATTTTAATTTGGAGTTACATTATGTGTAGTACATTATGTACCTGTGCATAGGAAGTTGTCCTAACATTACATACGTATATTCTTTACGATTATGAAGTCTAACCTGTATACGGGGATTAGTAATTACCTTGAAAAAGTTCAAGTACTTAGCCTTAAGAGTAGGATAATTCCATTGTTTACTGGCAATTTATGAAGTATGCAAAAAGTTGAAAATATGCAATTATGAGTTATGTATCGATAAAATGTAATAGTTACGTATATATATATATGTACAGGTTAGAGGTGGGAGTTACAATTGCTAATTTCATTTTCAATGAACATCAGTTTCTAAAAATCAACTCTGTATAAGCTTGCTAACTAACCAACGATTTGAAGCACCCTGCATGCCCTCTAACTTGTATAATAATACAACTTCATTCGCGTTATTGTAAGTTATACCATTATTGATTAATTGTACAATTATTAATAATTAATGATAAAGTAACAGCGTAATACGTACTTATATTTTGTAATGCTCGTCTTGAAATCAATATGTAAAGAATATATTAAATTATAGGCAGCTAGGCAAGTTTTACATTGACAGTTTATGATTATAATAAATTGTCTTTGGTAGTTTTTATTATCAGTTTTTTATCGTTTGAAATTGTGTACTTGAGATGACTAAAAACAGAGGCATCTCTTCTATTAAGATTGCTACATAAGCTGACTGAGTAACATGAATATTTAGATTTATATACAAAATCGATACGTTTGTGAATATGCAAATGTTCCCAAACGTAGAAGCATAGTGTACAGATGCAGACTTACAGTATAACAATTCACTAAGTCAAGAGCGAAGTACAGATACGGTAGTTATTATCCAAATCTAATATTTTCAATACAATAACGAAGTATTGATTGTAGTATCACTTTGCATTCTTACAAAAACACCAATCATTTTTACAAGATTATAGTCACTAGCAACATTCATGTTTTGATTGGCGTGCAGTAGGGCAATGTTTTTCGGAGCATACCAGGACGATGAAGTAGATTTTTAGCACCTTAAAAGCCGTATTTTGACTGAGTCTGTCTTCGGGTTGCACGGTTCGCAGACCAAGTATTCTTCAGTTCCAATTCACGCTCTTTTGCCTGATACAGTAATAACAAATTAGGATCATGCCAAAGTATAGATTAAGGCCAACTAATTTAAAACTATCAAACAGTTAGCAAATCTTTACCTGAAAGGCCAAATACGTTATCTGGTGCTTACGCTTTTGCATTTGCGATGGCTTTAAACGGCCACTATCCTAAATCCGGTAGTAAATGCAATATAAGCAATCGAACATATCATGCTACAAATAGTATACCAATGCATACAAGATGATGCATACCTCCGGCCGATAAGACAGTTCTTCTGTAGAAAATTTTTGTCTAAATTTAGCAGCATCTGCAATATGATCTGCTTCATTAACGTCTATGATATTTATAATCTCTGCATCGCCACGTTTACGCTTGCCTTGCATACGTAAGAACTGTTACAAGTCAAAACAGTTAATCGGGTAACACAAATGTAACAAGTACATTTATACACTAATAATTATAGATCATGTACGATTTATCACAGAATACCTGCTCGTCTTGCTTTAATTCATTTACGAAGTTACTTTCACTAGAATTGGATTGTGATGAATTTTCATAGGTGCTGTTATAGCTATTGACGTTATAATTACCATGATCATTGTATTGGTATTGACTACCTTGAGTATATTCGGGCGAACATGATACTCCAGCAATTGGTGTCTAAGAATTTGTAGTAATTATAGCAAAAATGTCTTAAACTCCCCATGAGCTTAGCATAAATTATTCAAATTTTAAGGACAAATTAGATGTACGAATATATCACTGAGTTAAGATTCGTCAACATAGTGATTTACCTGATTCTGATATGTAGGTGCTTCAAATTCTTCAAGAGATGGATCAGGAGCGGAATTTAGATAATTTGATTTTGAAAAGTTACTGTGCTTAGAATTGTCAATGCTGTCCAATTTATTCTTCTGTATCATATTGGTGCTGTAAATATCAATACGATCTATTGTTATATTTTGGAATCATGGCAATCGTGAAAATATTATATACTAAATCAGTAAGATTTTTATAGCGTAAAGAGCACGAATTCTGTTTATAAATTTACAAAGTAGCAGTTGAAATGTGCTTGTAAGTGATACTGATATTACGCCATTATATAAATCATAAGCCTAAACAAGCGAAGCTACTATCAATCCAATAACAATGTATTAAAATGTAACAGAGTGAACATTGTCATAGGTTCGTTAATTCTGCTATCTCTTTTCTATCGCCATACATATTATTGTATAATGCAGTGTACACTGCTGATTGGAATCATACACAACTTAATGGCATAACATAAGCGTATGACTGCAACCTTTGCAAAGTTTTGTCAGGTTGATTGTCTTGTAGGTTGCCAAAAAATCCGCCTGCATCGTAGTTATCTTCATCTTCCGGGAGATTTCCACTAAATTTTTTGCCTTCGTTTGGCGTAGGTTTATTCTGACGAACATTCTTTTTTTTAGTTAAAGTATAAGGTATCATTGGTTGTTTGCTTTGTTCAGTACCGGTACTTTTTGTATCAGACTTAATAACTTTCATCTTTGCAAACATTGCGTTTTTCGGTGCAGGTAACATTTCGGTCAAACTAGAACCGGCCTGCAATGAAGATGAATACAAATTCCTGCCATCAATGCAATGAATTACTGTAGGCAATTTAAAGCGTAATGCTAATATCAACTTTTAAAATAAAATAAATTACTATACTGTTACAGGAGCTAGGTATTGAACTGATCGCTGTTAATCAGTCATTAAAGTCAAGAATTATGGTAAAGATGCCCTAATTATCGTCTCATAAATCATTAGTTAGTGAACCTTATATTTATATTTTGGTTTAGTACTCTCGGGTTCCTCTTCATCGTCGGAATCATTCTACGATGCATAAACGAGAAAATTGAAAGATTTTAATTCATTAATCATCGTTAAAGGATGGCAATCAATCTATCAATAAATCCAATAGGTCAACATGTAACATTACGAGTAAGCTGATTCTAATTGATCCTCTTTAAGCTACCTGTTCTTTCGATAGCAATAACGAAAGAATGAAGGAGTAGTTGATAATAATAATAACAATTATAATTTGACTACTGTCGTGTGCATTTGTACTAGCTAAACAGGATAAATTTGAAGAAATCTTTCATAATCTATCCTTAGTGATAATTGTAATGACTTTGCATATCAAGATAAATCGTAAGAACCAATTGTTCCGTTCCGTTAATACTTACCGAGGGCAACGACGGCATAGCGATCTTGACTTTTCCATTGACTTTCTTGGGCGGTGGTAACGAACTAAGGAGACCTTGACGAGTAGAAGGATTTGCATTGACTTTCGTTTCCCCACTATTGCCCTGCTTTGAAGGTTTTGACTCTTCAAGTACCTCATTATCGCTACTACTATCATAAGCGGCTACTAACGACATAATTAAAACTATCAGTAATGATAAAGGAAGGAAGATGGAAATAATAATTTCAAGGTTGCTGAGAAGCCTGTGGTTTACCGTTTACATCAGTTTCCATCTGATTTAGTATGGCCTTGAAATCAGTCCTGAATCCTGATAGAGTAACTGTACGTACTGTACTAGTACTGTACACTTACAAAAGCCTACAGTATGGACTGCATATACAGTACTGTACAGTACAGTGTACAGTGTACAGTATATTCTACAGTACGTACTGTAGATGTACAGTAATTGGTAGTCGATGGCTAAGCACTATTATCCGACTGAAACAGCAGCTAAAGACACTATACCGATGGCCGAAATCCGTCATATCTGTAATTTGTTTTAAATTGTAAATTGGATTATTTTAATCCTATCAACAATTAAGGCATCCAAAGCACTTCCAAAGATATAACTCTCACGCTTTAAAATCCGCTTGGTTATGATATACGAGTAACTTGGCATTTTTCGATAGAAGAATTATGGCACAGTGGTGTTCTGCGATGGTACTGCCAAAGTTACGAGGGGGCCGAGAAGGTCCAATGCTGTACAGTATACAGTACTACAGACAGTACAGTGCTGTACTGTACTGTACTGTATGCTGGCCCTTCTCGGCCACCATGAGCGTGTTTATTTTCTCTTGAGATGTAGAAAATGAGAAAAATTAGGACTCAAACTAACGTCAAAATAGGGTACTTTATATCAACATGGAGCTAAGTATGCAAGAATAGTTAAGGCCCACAGCAATAATTTCTATATACTTTGCCATTTAAAAATCGGAACAATTAGTAAACATGCCCTACTGTACTGTACTGTACAGTACTGTAGGTCGCTCACTGGACTGGTTTAGTTGGTAAACGTGAGCGTTGAGACAACCTAATTACAAATCAGCTTTGAGCATCATACGCTTGCGTACTCTCTCTCCATCTCCATAGCAACCATAATTTGTGGATGGTGATTTTGTGTACCATAGTAGTGACCAACTTTTATGTATTCGTTCATAGATTAGACGTTTGCTGCAATATCGATTTTCAATTCCAGATCCTGCACACCGATAACTTATTAATATTTACTGCTTCAACACTGAAAAGGGTCAATTATTACTAATTGAACAAAATTATGAAGAAATCTCAAAGTAAAACCAACAAGGTTAGAAAAGTTATTTCTATTGATAACGTACGTTTTGAATCGCAAGATTGACAGCACAAAATACTTTTAACCTACATATAAATGCGAATCGTCATGCTTTTCTAATTTTCACAATATGTTGTATCTGTATTTGTGAACTTTAGTCCTATTCTGTAACGATCATTGCTAATAAATTCATCTACTATACAAATATTACGTATGTTTGAAAAAAATTTCATTAATTCGAACAAGTTATTGGTAACCATAGAGGTAATAGTAATTAGAGATGATGCAAATCTATAAGATAATGCCACCCCATGGTCTTGATGATAAAAGTGTTTGCGCATCTAGCTATCTGTCTCGATAGAGTAGATATAAACATTATCTTCAGTAAAGTAATATTAATCTTTATAATAAGCTATGATCTAGCAAAGTGTGCACATTCACCCTGCTCTCACGGAATAAAATTAGAAATAGTTCGTGCATATTTAGGGATCTAGATACGTTAGACATTTAGGCTGCAAGTTGTACCATGAGCTTGTTAGGTAATGTAGGCCCGTTCGTATTTTAAACTTGTCTATTTCATAATGAAAGGTAACAAAACTTGGCAATCTATCCAAAGGGAAAAAGCAAGGCCCATCCAGAGTAAGCATATACTTACAGGCTAAGCTAAGAAATAGGCCATAAAATAGGAGTACTGCATTATGCAAAGGAATAGATCGTTTATTTAAAAACTTATACTGACTTCGAATTACCATTCCATTTAGGACGACGACGATCGTACGGAAATTGGAGAAGAGAATGTTGATGAATGGATGCAGGTTGAATAAGAATTTTGTCAGATTGATAGTTTAAATTTCTGTCTTTAGTTGATGTATATTCATTTACGTATTTTGCTACTATTCCTAAATGCAGTCAAAAACTGTCATAAAACCTGAAGACCAATTGGACCTTAGTGAAGTTGTACGTAAAGCAGAATTTAATTATTTTATATCACTGTCAACTCTTTGCAACTGCTCTAAATTAATTAGATACCCTTCTATTTCTATTCATGATAGGAATTAAAAGAAGAATTTACCAGAATATTAACAGCTAATAATCCCCATGCGCCCAGCAATATTGTCAGATACAATTACAAGGTAGGCAAGTTAACTTGATACGATAAGGAAGAATATCTATATTATAGGAGATTAATTTAAGTTTACATATGAACTAGGATCGATCATATAAACAAATTTCAAGTGTCGATCAGCTGGCAATTCACTTTGCCTTGGACGGGTAAGTTATTTATTAACCTTAATACAATTTTGTCACCTAGGAAACTTTCATAAGTTTCTCATACCTGTACAATATTTTAGAAATCTTCTACACAAAGATTCAGACGAGGCAAGACGTCAGAAGGCTAAAGCTGAAGCAGCAGAAGCTAAAGCAGTATCTGATGGTAATAAGAACAAATCTTTACAGTCCAATTCATACATTAATGAGATAATTAAGATAATCAATAAAAGCGTAATCTTATGAGATTTATGGTACTTACAGCAACAAGTGATCATGCAAGTGAAGCTGCGGCGGATGAAGAAGAACAGCAAGAAGGAGATGATAAAGTAAATAATAGAACTATTTTTCTTTACCGATAATGCCCAATTCTTAACACTATCGCTTTCTTAAATACTTTTAATCCTTCTCAGATTGATGCTGGTACCGAAACGGATGGCCAAGATAAGAAAGATAAGAAATTAACTAATCAGTTTAACTTTAGTGAACGAGCCTCGCAGACCTTTAATAATCCATCTAGAGTGAGTTTGCACTATAATTTACTAGCAATGTGACCTAAATTTTATAAGGTTTTTCGGTAGCACTCATATCAATCCTTAAATGTGTAGGAAAGAGGAACAGTAACTGAGCCACCACCTAGAGCTAACTTTTCGGCATCTGCAAATCAGGTAAAGATCAATATGACAAGATTAATATTTGGTAATAGACCATATTCGATTAAGAAACAATATTAATTCGATCATTTATAATCACAACCTAGTGGGAAATATATGACGCATATGCGGAAGATTTAGAAAGACAGGTAACTTGCTAAGATAGCAAAGGAGTAAACATATCGGCATTTACGCGAATTATGTTTATTTATCATCTAATAAATTGCAGTGATAGTAAATTTTGATATTGGCAACTTGCTTAGGAAAAGGCCAAAGAGAAAAAGACTACCATCATAAAGGAAAAGAAGGAAGATTATAAGAAAAAGAAGCTAACAACACTTGATCTACAGGTAGATAGTCGCGGTTTTCACCAAGTAAATAGTCTTGAATCATTGATTCCTTGTAATTAATAAAATTAATGTATTTTGATAACTTGAAATAGACGGATGATATCTCTAAGATACACAAAGCTTCCAAAATTGTCGAAAGAATGGTTAACCAAAATACGTATGATGACATTGCTCAAGGTACCAATAGAGCGTTGTAAAAGAAAAATTTCACGGTGATTCTTGGATTTGCTAATTTGTGTATTACCGATATCGTTTGTATATTTTAGATTTTAAATACTGGGAAGACGCTGCTGATGAGTTCAGAGACCAGGAAGGAACACTGCTACCACTTTGGAAGTATTCTTATGATAAATCTAAAAGACTGGCAGTTACAGCGATGTGTTGGTATGATTATGATAACTTCGGTAGTTTTTTGATGATTATTAGTTCAATCTATTTTTTGGATTTTAGCGGTTTAACGCTTTCATTTTGTAATGCATAACTTCTAGGAATCCAAAGTATCATGATTTAGTTGCTGTGGGCTATGGATCATGTAAGCTAGAATAGGATTATAATTAAATTAAATTAAACTAGAATCGTCATTAAAAGCTTAAAAGTATTGATTTATCTCCAGTTATAAATAAAGATAATTCTCTATAACCAATATCTGCCTAACATGAATATGTTTTTTATTATATGTTAGATGAATTTTTGAAGCAAAGCCGAGGCATGATATGCTTTTACTCTATGAAGAATCCTTCATATCCCGAGTAAGGATCGATACATCATATTTGACAGTGAGCGTAAATAGCCTGCATATTGATCTTCGACTTATTCTATGTTATTATCTACTGTCAGATACATCTATTCAACAGAAAGTGGAGTCATGTGTTTAGATATCCACCCTGAACATCAGTTTCTTGTTGCTGTTGGATTTTACGATGGTAGCGTTGCTGTTTATAACGTTCAAGAAAAAGTGCAAGATCCAATTTATAAATCTACTGCTAATAACGGCAAGCATACCGATCCAGTGTGGCAGGTAATTTCGGTCATTCCATTACATAAAGTCTAATGCGTTTGTAATTATTATTATCAGTAATTATAAGTATGAATATGACACAGTAAAAATATCATGCATGATTCTTATATGCTTATCATCTATTCCTTGTAGGTTAGTTGGCAAAAAGATGATTTGGATAATCATTTAAATTTTTATTCAGTTTCATCAGATGGGCGAGTGGTGATGTGGACAATTGTTAAGGTACCAGTATTTTGTTTTCCGCAATTATTATTCTTAATCAATTTCTTCCAGTAGACATTATTTAATTTTGATACCGTTAAACCATCAAAATTTTTTTAGAATGAATTACACCATACTAACGTTATTGAATTAAGAATGAGTGATATTCCTACTGAAGGCCCAAATGGGACCCAGTTGTTCAATCTAGGTACTGTAGTTTATTACTTCGATAGAAATTAATTCCTTCTATCATCTTCAACTTCTGGTCTCTAATTTTACTTACTTATAATAAGCAAAATGTCGCCTTATACTTTAAATTAACTTATTCTTATCGTGTAATTGCTGATTCCATGACTTAAACCGGTAGTACCTTCAATAGTTATCTTAGTACTACATTATTTGCGGTTCGAAATCGTTAATATACAACCTGAAGCGACAACTGTAATCTGCATTGGCTCAATATTATTTTGTCTAATCGATTTACCTATATTTTAGGCTGCGGCACTTCATTCGATTTCAGCAAGACTGTCGATTATATCTTCTTAGTCGGTAAGAAAGAATAGTAGCATAATTCGCAAATAATTAAAAATCTTATTTGATATTGAGTAGTATGTCAAAATAATTGGGCTTTAAAATCTTGTTAATGTTAGGAACGGAAGAAGGCAAAATTTATAAGTGTTCCAAAGCTTATTCGAGCCAGTATCTCGATACCTATGACGTAATTATTGCTACTAGTTGAAATTAGTGTTCTAGATTACAATTTATTGTGCAGTAAGTCTAAATATGTAAATTTCGGTTAATATTCAAGGCTCACCATATGGCTGTGTATGCAGTACGATGGAATTATTATCACCCGGACATTTTCATATCGTGTAGTGCTGATTGGACCGTAAAAATTTGGGATCATACCCATCCCAAGTAAAGTTCTAGAATACACATGATCATTTATGTGAACAACTACACTTGCAATAAGACCCTAATAAGCTATCTAAGTATTGATTTACAGAATACACCAATATTCAGCTGTTAATTTAACGTTCTACTTAATTTACTTTTATAGAGAGCCTATGTTTACCTTTGACTTGAATAGTAGCGTTGGAGATATTGCTTGGTCTCCATACTCATCTACAGTTTTTGCTGCAGTCACAGATGATGGCAAGGTAGATTAAAGACATTTGTAATTTACCAGGAAGACTTACAATAAAGTTAAATTTTCATTACTGACAGCTGACACTAGATTTTTCTAATATTATTATTATTTCATCATATTTTAGATTCACGTATTTGATTTAAATCTTAATAAATATGAACCAATATGTGAACAACTTGGTGAGTTTATATTAACAATAATTTCATTCGCAATGAAGAAAATGGAGATAAACCTAGTAAACCCATTGATATTATTATTTCATGCATAAATAATAGTCGTTCAAAAGAAGAAAACGAAATTAACACATATTGCCTTCAATCCTCACCATCCAATAATCAACACTGGTGATGATCGAGGATATGTTACTAGCTTCAAGTTATCACCTAATCTTCGTAGGATTAGTAAGGTAAATCAAACCGATTGTGTTATTCTATTTTCTGTTGTTATTGATTTTTGCAAACTATTTCATACAATCAATATTTAGAACTATTGCTAGATAATACTTTAAGCATTTTATATGTAAGAATAACATTTTGAATGCCTAATAGGAAAAGAGTAAGAATGCGCCACCTATGACCAAGGCAGAACGTAAACAAGCTGAAATCGCTAAGCTGGATAAGTTACTTAGTTTAGTTCGGGAAACCTCGAAGGACGAATCAAAATAAATAGAATTAGGATTGAATCCCATAGTACACACACTGTTCACCTGATAGTTTTACCCCTTAGGATGTAGTTAGAATATAAGATCATTTTTTATTTGATTGTCTAAGGGCAGAAATACTCACGTATTATTAACTGTTCATTATTACCGTCTACATTTTAGGACTATCTGTACTGTAAAGTAATGCATATTGCCTTGCAATATAGCTAATATAATTTTGACACTGTCATTCTGAAAATGACAATTACTACTATCCCGCTATGCAAATGCGCTATTAAATGTCTACCATACCAATAATAAGCTGGAAGGACATTTTTTAGATATAACGTTTTAAATTACTTTAAATATATTCTCAAGATTAAATAAGTCATAAATATCTATTATAATTATGCGGGTAATTGTTGTAACTACTGTAGCCGTAACTATATGGTGGTAGAAATTGACTATTTGTATTCATACACGTACATTACGCCATTCGTCATTATTGCTTGATGATTCTATTTTCTATCATTTCGATTTGAATAAAGTCAATTTAAACTTAAGCCAGATAATGCAACTCTTGTTGTAATTGCAATATTAGCTAAAATTTACTGGAAAGGGACTCTATTGAATTTGAAAGTATAATATTGCAATAAAATAAAGTCTATTTACTTTAGGATCATTCTATCAGAAATTAAAACAAAAATTCGAAAGTTTATATTTATCAATTGAGAGATGCGATAATATTTAGGGGTCCATAGTTGTAAGCTTGTACAAGTTCGAGGAATTATTGAAGCAAGAATACGATATCAGCCTTAATCATAAATAGTTTTAGAAAATTGTGCAAGTTCTTGATTAGTGTGATTAGTATCATATCGATAATCGTGGCCAACTATACACTAAAAGTTACGGTAGTAATCCCCTAATACCATCAATAGAAAATACGATTAAATAAGACGTAAAAGAACTGCTTATTCAGTAAATAAATTAAGATTAATTAGAAGAATGTAAATCATAAAGATCCACGACCAGTCGAACATAATTACTCCTATATGCTGATAATAATGCCATGCACTTCTTAGTTTGAAGGGTATCATAGATCTGGCTAGCTATACTGGTATCGTAAGCTTCAGAATTAAAAAAACGTTTTATAGTTGTATAAAGACGGAAAATATCATATGCCATTTACCACCATCGATAGTACAGCAAGAGTAAAAATGTCGAAAAGAAAGTCTAACAACATAGCATATTTTACTTTATAGATTTGTATTAGCAAATCTTAAAAAGCAGTTAAAATGAATTAGAAACGATAGCACTGCTAACAGTGTAAACCAATAACTTTATTGTTGTTGTCTGGTTTATTTTTATAAACCAATAATTAAATTTCCTTCATGATTGAGTTACGTAAGTACCGGTACTGTCCTTTATTTATTCGTTCAAAATTAGTTGAAATTATATGCTCAGTATTCTATTATTAGCGTACGAAACTGTGCTCCTTAACAAATTGATCAAGCAGTCATACTACTGTATAGAACTAGGCGTTGGAGACGGTAAGGTAAACCGTAATTTTAATTTAAGACCGTTCATGAAGCCACCTTTGTGACATTAACGTATTCTTATGATCCTAGCATTCGAAATACTTTTACTTATTATAGTGTATCTTACGCTATGACTATAAAATATCTGAACAATAGCTTAAAATCGCGACTTTCTGCTGATACGCTTATACCAGCAAAACCTAGAATAAATATAAACAATTCTGAACTTACATACAAGTGCTAATATGAAGTAGTTAGATCGTTAATGAACAATCGTTATCGACTAATTTAGAGGATTGGAAAAATAGTTATAAGAATAAAAAAGAACTACCTGCTGATCCTAATTAATAGGCCTGCTGTCTCTTTATTATGTACCCGGGTATTATATCCCATCAACAGTTGCTGATTCATTAAGGATGATAAGTTTGGCAAGTAACTAAAAGTTGGCTTTTTATATACAGTATATTGTATATTTTAGTAAATTGTGTCAGGAAAGTGTACTAGACCTAAAGAATTTGGAACCGAATAGCTGATAATTAATAGGAACTACCAGAATAGTAAATAGCTACCCGTTACTTAATTTAATTTAGTTGGAAGCACAGTAGTAAAATAGCTATCTAGAGATGAAAATAGCATGAATAGCATGCCATATGAGCATGCACATAGCGTAGCAGAATGAGAATATTATGAGACTATCAATTCGGTCTGATTTAAAAATACACTTACTAGTAAGATATTAGAAGCTTAAATGTATTGAGTAAAAAATTTTATTTAATAACATACGCGCGTATAATGCCTAGTATAAGTTAAGAATTGTTATGCTGTAACTACTGTACTGGATCATTGCCTGAACTGGCAGGCTTCGATTAATTATAACAATTATTATATTACCATCATTACCAAATCTTAATTAATTCCGTAATTTGCCAGCACATATTCGAAAGTAATGTGACTGGAAAGCTAATGGAATTACTGCAACGTATTTATGCGACTCTTTGAAAAATTGAATCAAATGTATATATATGGTGCGTATTACCAGTAGGCGTCTATCTAAGTAGGGATATTTTGAAAGCCTTTCGATTAATTTAAGAGGTATGATGTACCAAATTCAGCATTTCTGCGGCCATGAATGAATTTACCTTAGAAGAATTACTAAATCGATGATATAATACATCATTTCATATCATAGATGTACTCGGAAAATAGATTAGTATCTAATTGTATTATAATTGAGACTGTTACTGTTTACAGTAATACATCTTCAATTGCGTCTTTCTTGACGGATAACTTCATTAAAATTTAGCCAATATCAACCAATGTACATGAAATTTTGAATTTTCGAAAATATTTACTTTTATTCCTACTAAAATGTTATCAAGATTTTTACAATCTAAATTAATGGTAGGCAAAACAAGTATAGATACCAATTTCAATAGCCAAGTAATATAAACTTGTAGACAGCATAAAATTCAATACTTGTATCGTTCATGTTGTTTTGCTAATTACACCTTGAGCGAGCTATGCCCATTTTCTTTGAAACAAAACTTCATTAAAACGTAGCCGGATTCGATCAATATGTGCTGCATGCTAAATTTTTTATAGTTAGTTTAGATGTTTTATGTCTGTTAACAGTAATATTTTATCCAGCCCTGCAATAGGAATTAATGATTGGCATAATTAGCATAGTATCCATATCGATAGTTAGATATAAATTTTAAAATGGTAAAAAAGAGTGCCCTCTGAAATTGCTATTGACTAGGAGTTGTAGTTCTCTATCATTTATGTGTAGAGGATAAAAAGGGCCGTTTATTCAGTTGATAAATTAAGATAATCTAGAATACTATTAGTGAAGATATAGGTAGCCCGATCAACTTAATGTTATTACCATGGTCAAGCGATGCCTGGCGTTGTAGGAGCCTGCTATTTGCCTATATGTTCTAAATAAAGTACTTTTCTTCCTTTTCATAATTTGTGTGATCGTCTGTACTCTATAACTACAGTAGCTTCTCAACCATAGCCTTTATCCGCGAAAGTACCGGCCGGAGTGAATGTCGATATTTTCGGGCTCTACTATTTATTATGAATACTAGAGGAGGTGTTTAATAAACAAATGGCATACGTATTAATAGTTAACTGTAATAGAGGCTTTAGACTTTAGATGCTCAATAGGTAGTTCTGTATTTTTTTTTATTCACTGTGTAACTATACTGTACAGCGCTGTAATCCGAGTAATTTCAGTGCTTATTAGCCAACTTACTTAATCTCTCGGGTACAAATTTAGCATGAAATTCTTTGAAGTTCTTTAAGAACTTCATGAGCTGCGCACTGTTTGTTATCAAAGTACTAATAAAATACTACAATCTATTTTCGCAAAGTGTCACGAGCAAGATATTCCACTGGTAGATAAGACTAAGCAAGTTCATCAGGTAGAGTAATGTTTATAGCAAGATAAATAATTCAGATATAGTAAATAGTTCGAAATTTATTAGATAAAGTTAACTGCTGATAGTTCTTGGTAAGAAAATTGAACTGATTTGTTATTTACATAAGAAATCGAAACCTTGTCATGCTACTTTTGAGACTCTTTATTGGCGTATGTAGTTAACTTACTGCCTAAAATAGCAATAATTAGGATAGTTAAATCTCAAGAACGAATGCCATAGGTTTTACCAGATACCAAGTATAATTTTAATAGTTAAAAATGGTCTACATCTATCTAAAGATGGAGATAGCATGAATTGCATGCCATACGAGTATGCGTATAGAGTAGCAAGAGTGAGAATATTATAAAATTGGATGCCTGAAACTATCAATTCGCATTGATTAAAAAATACAAGTACTAGTAAAAATATTAGAAGCTTAAATCTATTCAGTTTAAAAATTTTAGATGATAGCATGCGTACACGCATATACCGCCCTCGTATAAGTTTAATTAATATTGTTTTGCTATAATTAATGTACCGGATTATTGCATTACTTGAACTGACAGGCTCGATTAATATACCATTATCTTTACCAAATCTTAATAATATTAAATAATTTCGTAGTTTGCTAGTACATATCCGAAAGCAATTGCGGTTGGAAAGCTAATGGAATTACTACGATGTTATGCGATTCTCTGAAAAAAGTTGATCAAGTATATACGTATTATCGGTAAACATCCATCTAAATCATTTTCCTATGCGGATAATATAATAAACATGCGTAAATAAGTTCAGCCATCGATACAATACTGTTATAAGAACTAATAGTTCATTATACTGACGTAAACTTTTCGAGGACCCTCAAAACTCAATCTGGAATGCTGTACTAAAACATTATCCAAAAACAGGACATCCCCAGCTTGCCATTCAAACCCGACAGCTACTTGCCAATTAACACTACGCATGTAAAATAGTATATCCTCACTAATTTCACCACCGTCACCGAAATAGCATTGAAGCGGATGTTTGTCTAATGGTAAATCTGCAACTTCGAAAGAAGGATGTTCTCTGGTATATGTTGGCGAATGTTGATAAATTTGATTAAACCATGAAAGTTTACTTGTCTTGGAATGATTTACAACGGCAGGTAGATCGATATAATAGGTTAGATTTTCATTGTCATCCCATTTATATGTGTAACCTGCATTAGTACAGAATTCTTCTACCTCTGCTTTTTCCTTAGTTTGGAATGATTGTTGCCATGTAATGTATTTATAAGGTACAGAACCTTGGCTAAATAGATAGTTTTGATATCGAAGGCCTCGTTTAAGAAATGGTTGAGTAATATCTTGGCCTAATCGATCGACATAATCGCTGACTTTAGCAATACAAGTATGTCCACCATGACCTAATGCAGGAGGTATCTTGCAATAGAAAATAATAAGATCAGACCAATTAGGTGAGTAAGCCATTTCATTATGTAATTCAATACTGCATTCTTTTGGTTCATCGCTGGCTGTCATGACATTGGTTACCTTGCTATGCCGATTTCCTATACCTCCTTTATAAGATTGAGGGTTATATTTTAGTTGACTAACTAACTGTGAAAAATGTGTTTCATTTTGGATGGGTAATGATCGTACCAGAACCGCCCCATATTTAGTTAAATTATCATCTAAGTATTGGCGAACAACAGTAGCCCAGTCGGTTAAGGATAAATTTGCTGCATCAGTAGTATTAGATGGAGTAACGACATGTGGAAAATCAGGTTGAGGATTGTTAAGCTGTTGTGGAAACTGATGATGCCACGAACCGGGTAAATACTTTCTACCAGCTAGTTGGACTGGGACGCTTAGTTCTGGTAAAGGGCTTTCATTTTGTAGAAAAGCACTTGAATAATCTCGATATGACTGACTATTGAAACAATATCTTTTGTACATCCATGTTCTCCATTGCATTCTACTTTGTTGCGATAACTTTTTGTAGTAACGACTGATTAGTTTATAGGCCATTCTTTGAGCATTTTAATCACGAAGATAATAGAATCAAACGAGCTATGTTGCTGGATCTGATAGGGTTGATAATCAAAATTACTCTTCAATAATTATAGTTTAAGCAATCGAATTCGATCAACTACGGGCGTTCCAATGAGATCTGTTCGTAAACTCGGCCTGAACTAGTTTTTTATGCCGGTAGATCAAAACCAATATTAAAGAAAAGCATTAATGCTAGCCAGCACACAGGCCCTATGGGAAAACTATAAATAACAGCTAAACTGAAGCGTTTCATTCAGTGCTTTTCTAGTATCACTCACTTTGTAGTGCTAGTTAGTATTTCTCGAATAGCTAAGTTAGCTTAATAAGATTAATAAGATATAAGGACGCCAATGTCTTACCAGTAATGAAACTTAGCCTTTTTATATTGTTAGATTTACTATGATATACAGTATTACCCTTTAATTACTGGTTCCAAGTTAATTAAAATTATATGCTCAGTATTTAATTTACCATTGCTACTTTAGCATTCGATATACTGTACCTTGCTAGTGCGTATCTCACGCTACGGTCATAAAAGTATTCGAACAATAAGTTAACATTGCGATATTAAGCTACTACGCCTATATCAGCATAACCTAAAATAAATCTAAACAATTCTAGGCGTCTATATGTAGAAAGATGGGACTACTCACAAGGGAATTCGAGTATAGACAAAAGAATAAAAAGAACCAACTGCTGAATAACTCGGCCTATTGTCCTTTTATCCGGTACTGTATTATCATCAACAATTGCCGATTGATTAATTAATTAAGTTTGGCAAGTAATAAAACTTGGCTTTACATATATATATCGTATGATTTAGTCAATAAAAATCATGTCATGAAAGTATATTAGACCTGTAAAAGTAGAAACTGGATATCTGTCGTGTACGGGGTTGTTAGCCTTATCAACACTTACTTTATCAAGGCATACAGTTCTACACTACATACTATCACTGTATTGCACGGACAAAACTATTGTAATTAGCTGAAATCACTACAATATCTAATCACAGGAATAAGCTATACTAATACAGTAAATAGTTATTCGTTGCTTAATTAATTTAACATAATTGGATTGCTATAGAAAATAAAAAAAAGAGGAATCTACCATTACTCAGTTAATGGTTTTGGCTGACTCCAAGAACACACATAATATCTCAGTAGAAGGGGCTTTTCTATATGTTGTTTATTACTAATCCGGCGGCAAGATATTTAATAATTGTGAAAAGCACTTTAGTCGTAAATATATCGTACTACCGAACATTTTACTATATATCATTCGCAGTCGAAATTTAATTTTAATTTAAGGGAATTTAATTTACTTGAATGAATCACGGTAAGTGATATTCCACGCTAAATATTTACAGCATTCAATTTCTAAAAGGAAGATATCCATCTCGCAATAAGCAGAAAATTTGAATGGCCTATCCAATGGATAGTATTCAATTAATTATCGATCAAAACATTTAAACTAATCGACTAGGCCGTTTACATCAGCCCAACCAACGATTAGTAAGAATTGCATTGCATAGACTCTTCTGCAGTAATCATTTCATATTTGAATTTTTAGCAGAAAGAGATAATTTCTGATCCTTATTAGAATAATAGCAAGTGTGAAAACAGCTTTAAGAGATTAATAAGAACTGCAGAGATCTTGTAAGTGCTTCCAATCAATCAGCACTTAGCTCTAGATAAGGGTTAGAACGTACAGTAGGCCTCCTTTGCTAGACTCAATTAATCGAAAGAAGAATAGAAATTAGGCATTATTCTAAGACTAACATAAAACAGTCTCTATGATTCTATTCGGAAATAATCTTGGACTAGACTAGGGATATGAACATCTTGCTATTGTGTCTATAGCATAGTTCAAATATTTTTAATCCTAAGTAGACATGAGATACGATAATTTAGATTGTGTACGAAGTGTAGACAAATCTTTGCTTTACTTTGCATAGATACATGGACAGATAGATAGTAGATAGATAGACAGATAGCCGTAAAAGAATAATTGTAATATAGTTGACTTACTTTAATTTATAAGCATATGGTTGAATTTACCATGATTATTTACGTATTATATTAGTTAAGCTGATTTGCTTGTAAAATATCGAGCACCAAAAAATTTATAACGTAGATGTACGAATTGAATATCGTAACTATCGGTGCTTGAGTAGGTACGTTTCGCTTATCATATCATTATTTCTATCAAATTTTAATATTCATTAAGACGGTAATTTATTGATATTTTACTCAGCATTGTACGCATAAGAAATTCATCTCTAAGGATTATAAACAAGTTGTCATCAATGTAAAAATATTACTGGTATTAATGTGATAAGAGCTAATAATTCATTATACTGACGAAGATTTTTCGAGGACCTTCGAAGCTTAATCTAGAGTGTTGTACTAAAACATTATCTAAAAATAGAAGATCGCCTGTTTGCCATTCAAATCCTACAGCTACTTGCCAATTAATACTTCGCATACGAAATAGTGTATCCTCGCTAATTTTACCGCCGTCACCGTAATAGCATTGACAAAGATGTTTATCTAATGGTATATCTATATTCTCGAAGGAAGGATGTTCTACTGTATAAGTCGGTGTATGTTGATAAATTTGATTAAACCATGAAAGTTGATTTGTCTTGGAATGATTCACAGCGGCTGGTAGATCGATATAATAGGTTAGATTTTCACTGTCATCCCATTTGTATGTATAACCAGCATTAGTACAGAATTCTTCTACTTCTGCTTTTTCCTTAGTTTGGAATGATTGTTGCCATGTCAAGTAAGCATTAGGTATAGAATCTTGACTAAATAGATGGCATTGATATCGAACGCCTCGTTTAAGAAACGGTTGAATAATGTCTTGACCTAATCGATCGACATAATCGCTGACTTTAGCAATACAAGTATGACCACCATAACCTAATGCTGGAGGTGTCTTGCAATAAAATATAATCAGATCAGCCCAATTGGGTAAGTAAGCCATTTCATTATGTAATTCGATGCTATATTCTTTTGGTTCATCGCTGGCTGTCATGACATTGGTTAATTTCTGTTGTCGATATCCAAGACCTCCTTTATAACTTTGAGGGTTATACTTTAACTGACTGACTAAGTGTGAAAAATGTGCTTCATTTTGGATGGGTAATGATCGTACTAGAATAGCTCCGTATTTAGTTAAATTATCATCTAAGTATTGGCGAACAACAGTAGCCCAATCAGTTAAGGATAGCTTTGCTGTATCAGTAGTATTGGATGGTGTAACGACATGTGGGAAGTCCGATTGAGGATTATTGAGCTGTTGAGGAAATTGATGATGCCACGAACCGGGTAAAAATTTTCTACCGGCCAATTGGACTGGTACGCTTAATGGTGGTACAGGACCATCATGTTTTAGATAACTGGTTGAATAATCTCGATATCGCTCAGCACGATAGGAATGTCTCATTTTCATCCATGTCGCTTGAGATGACGATTTCCAGTATGATTGTCGAAGTAGTTTAAATAGCATTCTTAGGTATCATTCGATCGCAAAGATGATGGAAATCAGGCTGTGCTCACTTCGATTGCATATGATTATGAGAGGACTAACAGCAGACTTGAAAATATTGAATAATTCATTAATAATTGACAATATCAATATATTGCAGTTTTTTATTTGAAAGTATTTTTTGGGAAGGTATAGATTACAGTGGTAAAGAATTGAAAGTTTACAGTACTGTACTGTACAGTACGTGTGCAGGAAGTTTGACCACTTACAGTACAGTACGTACAGTACGTACTGTACAGTACAGTACTGTACTGTACTGTACTGACAGCATATCAAATTCCAGACCTCTAGAACAATATTTTATGTCGGTAACACTAATTAGGAACCCAAACTATTCGTTTGTCTACAGCAATTGTCGTAGGTAGTGTAGAAGGCAAATTCGAAGTTTTTTACACACAATCGTACAGTAAATTGACAAAATTTTTCAATATTATTGGTGTGTAAAATAATAGTTAACATCTCAGTTGAGAGCGGTAAACAATGATTCAAACAACCTTTGCTATACTCGTATGGTCTAAATTGTACAGTATCGTAGAAGTCATTCACTACTTTCTGCCCGATTCCTGTACTGTACAGGATATTTTTATCGACAGAGGTGGTCGAGCTTTCAGCACATTTCTGCAGTACCTTAGATATGTCCTCGGGTGCATGCGGGTATGGACAGTTGGTAGCACGAATAAAAATTTGTTTTACGACCCATTGAATGGGATGAAAGAATTACTGTATTGCAGTTACGAATGTACAGTAGTTGGATCTGGCGTTTTTCTTTTTATTGCACGAGTATCGATGGTATATGAGCCTTGTGAGCCACCGTAATTACCTTTATGGGTGCTGCGGTTGAACGATGGAGAAGCGTATCAGCAGGGTGATTTTAGTCAGTTGGTTGTTTCTTTCATTCAGTTACAGTACTGTAAATTGAAAAGAAAATGCTTTTCTTCGACCTCTATCTTCAGTATACTTTCGACAAAGCCATACTTTAATTCAGCTTATCATGCACCATAAGGTTAAAGACCTTAAGCATCACTGTCTCTCTCCGTTCGTGTCCTCGTATACGGAAGAGTCAGGAAGACTACTCTATGACTCTATTTACAATCTGTACACCTAGATACTAGACACGATTCGGCGACAAGTTTGACTGACTGCGAGGCGAAGATGGACTGTGGAAATAATTATTTTATAGTACAGCATTAATTAGTATGTTAGCAACATGAATGGATTGGTATTGGGTAAATGCGCAGTCGTTAACAGACTGTACTGTAGAGTGTATACTCAGTGTGTACTGCTGTAACCAGTACCTGAGATCCATTCCACTGAAATCGCAGATTAGCGTTCAGATGATGTTTGCACGAATGAACTTTATCCACCATGTCTCTTTTCTATCATCTCGACATCATTTTGAGAAAACGATATTTAATTAGTTTGGTTCTTCTGTATACATGGATGGCTTTACATCTCACTTTTTAATTTGAAGGCAAATCCATTGACTACAGGGTCTATACATACAGTCTTATACTGCAGTTGAAATGTGGTACGAGAATGAATGAGCTAGGTGAGATTGGCTGCGCCAATAAGGGTAATGTGGAATAAAAGCAATCATTTTACGCCACATTGGCTAATTTTATTCACAATCACCTTGTTCCAAAACCCTTGTTGATATAGAAATGTTTCATCTTTTTCTTTAGTCAAAGCATGAGACCTATTATAAATGATTACCAGGATAATAATAAATGGTTGAATAGCTTGACATATTTATTGATGAAAGCTACGGAGAAATAACATATTGATCCAATCAACGTCTTCACGGCGGCTAAGATTGCATCGCTTTACAGAGCTTGCCACTCGTAGCCATTAGCCAACCAGAACCAGGAAAGAAACTCATGCAAAAATGCTCATAAAGCAATTTCCGGTTTTATTTGGGCGTGATCTTGGATTAAAGTGTTTCGCCACCTTAGGAGTATTGATGTCTTGCTACCATCGGATTCAAAGTAAAGTATGCAAGAGCAATATCCGGAGCAAACCGATGGCATCTGAGGTTTTGACGTCCCACTTGCGCCAACGTGGGAAACCGGCTTGGACGTCTTATTTTGTCCAGTATAAGCACGTCTACAATGATCAGTTAGCCCTTTCTCATTTTAACTGGCAGGTTGATGGCGTTAATTATCATATACTTAGAACTGGTTGTTATCCTTTAATAAAATATCATTGTACGCGTAGAACGTACCAAATGTTGGATACCGAGAATAAGATATTCACCCTTTTAAAGGCGATGAATTTAGGCATCCCTACTTTAGCCTACGGTTTAATATCACTGCCCCTGATTCAGTTTTACGAACAAGTGCCAACATCAGACGGATTCGTTAAAATTTTCTTCCTAAACAAAGAAGATAATAATGCTCTTTATTAATGGTAATGATTGCATCTAGGCCTATCCATTAAAGGCTGGGTAATAACATTCGAGTCTTTGCCTTTCAAAGTGGTCGTTGAATCTTCAAGTTAGGCCATCTTGATATGTTGTGCTCTTGCACTGGGCTATTCTCACTATGCTAACTGAAAAGGCCTATATGTACTCTACAGTAGATACTGCAGACGTACAATACATAGGGACACGATATTGGAAATTAGAATAGATGGGCAATCACTATTTTCCCATACCGAAAGAATGCGCGAACTCAAATTATTACTTTTGATATGCTGCAATGCATGATATGAAATAAATTAGCAACATCTCGTATTGATAAATCCTAAAATTGAAGTATAGAAACCGAAACATCCTGATAGCTAAATTAAAGAATTAATTATATGACTCGATGTATTTCTACGTATTACATCAGTCGTGCAATATTTAGTACGTTGTTATTGCATTGAATCAATGAGAACTGGATGAAAAACGGAACTTACGCAAATTCTGAAGGATGAAAGCCTGACCAACATTGAATAAAATAGAGTGAAATAGCACAATATTCACTATGATTACCGCATTACAAGTGTGTAATAGAATTTCTTATAGTTTATCCATAAACTCTATCACCAATTCTGTGATATTTTGTTTAATTACTGCAATTTTAAGATACCTGTGTAGGGATACCCTAAATTTCACTGCATTCTTTATAGCATCCTGTTATAAAAATAGTGGAGGATATTCTGCTATATACGGTAGGATGGTTAAAGATAAATTACAAATGTTAATCCTGAGTTGAAGTTATTTCGATGTTACAATATAACATCTGTACATCTATGTGTTATTATACTCTATTTTAGGATTGCTTAGAAATTGATTTTAATCTATTGCATAATAATACAATATTCGGAGGGCCTATTTTCGGATAATCTCTCAGATCGTACACGTAAAACCTGCATATTTTTTAAATGGCATTGATTTTCAAGAATACTGTACAGTGTATAATAGTACTTTAAGTCTTTCAATTATATTCTGCATGTGTACAGTATATCCGTTGGCAACAATTTTGGCAAACTGATTGAAGTGTTTTCTTTAACTGTAAACTCATTTTTACGTCCTCAAGATCTGTATCTGCTTTTTATTTCTTGTTCTACTATATAGCATGTATCCTTAAGCTTTTAAAACGTTTTATACACTAATAAAAGGTCATATGAGTCTGTTATTTACTCATCACGATGTCCAATCTACTGTATAGCACAGTGATGTTTGCTCCTTAGGCAATTGGCTGACTAATTCTGTTATTAGCTGCGAAACTACGACACGATGTAAATGATGAAAAGATTTACACTAAAGCTTTTCTTAATTGTTGTATAATAAATTATAATATCATCATATACAGTATATTAAGGACATTACATTGGCTTTAGATCTGAAATGAATATGCAATTCTGCTATTAATCCTGATAATGGCGAGTACTATAGTAGTAGCATCGGCCATTCACATTGAACGAACTGATTCAAAATTTTATAAAACATAGTAGAAAATTGGTATAAGACTGTAGTGTCTACATAATCAATCACTACACTGATCAGCTTGCTACTCAGTATAAACAATATTAGATAAGCGCTTTTAATTACAAGCAGCGTAGGCTGAAAGTAGTCATCTTACTCTCAGTTTAAAAATGTATGGCTTTCCGGATGAATTACTGCATATTATAACACATATGTCGATAGAATCAATAAATAGTCGATTTATGGATAGATTTTCCGACCAGGTCAGTCAAGGTTAAGGATAACAAAAGTAGTCAATAGAGCAATTTCAGATTGTAATTTATTAGCTAGGAAAAGCGCCTATAAGAGGTTGAAATTATTAATAAAAAATCTGTAGAGCTTACAGAAGCACTTTTGCTTAATATAAATTGATAACGACAGAGCCTGGTGAAGCTCCGTAATATGGAATATTAACTATTATAATCGGACTTCACAAGAATACTATAACTTAAATATATCTTGAAATATGTATATGTATGTCTATATATGCATATGCATTGATATAAAACTATACAATATATAATAACCGACAATTATACACAAAAATTTTTGCAGCAGTCATACTGATTTGATGATTTTATACGAGACATTATAACCGAAATAGGCTTTAGCAACCAAAACATGACAAAAATGAGTAGATCATTCATAGGAAGATATAAGAATAATAATACACTATCTTACATTGAAAAACGAAGCGAAGCAAAGTTGCGGTAATAATTGTTTCGCAATTAGGTTAATAAAGTGAATTTTGAAGAACAACATTACCGATTATGATAACAAAATTTATATCTTAGAGATAAATTTTCAGCGTTGTAGTGAAAATTTGATAGTATAATACTGAATATAGTGGATACTTATGGCGACTATTGCTCTCATGCACCTATTATAATTTTTTTGGCGTATTTTACATACTTTACATTCGATATCTATGTACACAATCTCTTCGATAGCTGTGATTTTAAAAATTAGTTAAGGTCACTGCCAGTGAGAGGTTACATGATAACATTGGCAACTTAAACGAGATGTAATGCTTTTATCCACGCACACACATACACGTACATTTACTGCCATAGGTTATTCATGCAAAAATCTTTTTCATTAAGCGTTTGCTTGGGATTCGTAATTAACTGTACTGTATTATGAATCCATATTTTGTATTAGTACAATCATAAATGGCGATGTAGTATATGCTACTTACAATAGCATCTACAGTATAGGATATCGCCAAAAATGTTAGTTTACTGATAGTGATGTTTATACCTTCAAAAGTGTACCAGAAAATACAGTAAGGGTTTAACAATGAGTACATAGGTAGCTATAAAATTAAGCAATCATAGTATCATAGTCCTCTTTCCGCTTAAAGATCGAACATTAGTTAAGTATAGGTCTGGTACCTCGACCAATTTTAAAGCCTCTTGTGCCATCAGGTCCGATAGGCGGGCGGATAACGCCTTCCATTTGAATTTTATTAGTACGCGAGAAGCTTCGACGAGGCGGCAAGGGACTAGCTCGTGGACTACCGCCATCACTGCGTGGTCGTCTAGACCATGGACTATGAGCACAACTGTCTGATGAATAATCGCTCCTTTTCCATGAATCAGAGCTATTTCTAGGACTATTGCCTCGGGGAGAGTCAAAACGACGACCTCTATCAGGTCCAAGGGTACCTTTACTAGAGTCCTTACCTACAAGAAATCATCGAACCATATAGATGTAATAAGCATCAGTATTATTAAGCGTAGTTGATCAGTATCTCAATGTAAATAATCTATTGTGTTTCATAATTATTAAATTATAAGCCTAGAGGTGATAACGCTATGGCAGATTTACAATCTAAAGACGATCATGCAACTTTGAACTAAAGCAACGGTAGCAGATTTTACCATTTTATACGGTACATTGGGGGTATACCGATTATAGCGAAAAATGTGCTCGACGATGTGCTAAGTTCACATCTACAATCAATTTATGTTCTCTATAGATCATGTAATCACGTTTTATAAAATTGCATTATACCAATTAATTGTCTCCGATCATATTTTATATACTAACTACAGCAATTGCATGTACCAAATGGAAACATAGACAGGCGCTTCGTATACTACCGTGTATCTCTTAATGAAGATAATATAAAAAGTTGATTCATTACTTTTGGTGATCAATTAGAAGGAGAGATGTATTTCAAAGCATGTACGTTAAGTAAGCTATAATAAGAAGAAATTTGACGTTGATTATCTTATTGAAATCGGAATAAGGATCAAGTTCAAGGAAAAGAATTTTATCGTTCAGATCGTCTGCTAGTAAAGAAACTTTGTTGAACTCTTTTGAAAGCGTAACATTTATTACTTTAGATGCATGTACGGCGCAATATGCGGGAACAATGGAGAAATACAGTCGAACAACGTAGGGCAATTTGGAAATAACCTTCAAATGGAGGTTCTTACCTATAGGAATTGGAGCACTTCTTCGTCTTGGTGCACCTTCAGCATCGTCAGAACTGCATGTGCTAACGTCATCACGAACATTGAGCAATTCATCCAGTCGTTTATTTTTCTTCTTTTTTCGTTTGGATTTTTTCTCTTTCTCATCTTGTGAGGCTGAATCACTTTTGGCTTTAGCTTCCATTTCCTTAATTTTATCAAGAGTTGATTGTTTTATTTTTAAGTTTAATAAAGTAACACCAATTCCATCCAAATCTTGCCTATCCGCTTGAGTTAGGCCTTCGATACATCGCAATGCGTGTTCAGGCTTATCAAATTCAACAAAGGCGCAAGTTTCTTGCCCTAATTGTGAATGATAAGCTTTAGCAGGTTTTAAATCGTCGGGGATGTTATCATTGGGTCGAATAATTCTTGCCAACAAAATCTCACCATAAGTTGAGAATAAATTGCTTACTCCGCTAATATTACTATATTTGGGTGGTAAATTGTAGGCTACCACTGTTTTAATGCCTTTATTTTCGGCAGCAATTTTTAAGTATTCGGGTAATGGATCTTTACGCTTGACTTTTTTCCCTTCTTGATTTACTTCTAACTTTTGGGAATATTTTAACGCCTCGGCAACAATATTCCAATCACGCGTGAGACATTTGACTTTTTTAAATGAGGTGATCAAGGTTATACTAACATAACCTTCACGATTTTTTTTAATGTGCTTGGTTAAAAAAGGAATTTCCCATCAAATATTCGTTACTAAAATAGAATTCGATACGTTCGATAATTCGATCACGTGTTAGTTGCATTTGTCTACCGCTATTTGTATTGGTCAATTCACTCCCTTCTCTTCCACTGTCTGCACCACTTTTATCATCATTGAATCGATTTATCCATTTCAGCCGATAGTAGTTCCATATCGCTGATTAACTCATCAACCGAGTCGTTACCAAAATTATCCACGCTCATTGTGCTTCAATGATTGTTTTTTTTGGGGGGGGGGGGAGGTTGATTTTGAGTCTACTTTTGACGTTGCCTACACTAACTTGCTCAACGGCCAACGAGAAGCTATCAACAAGCCTACAACGGCAAGAACATAAATAGAATTTCAAGGAATGAGTAAACAGCCATGTAAACCATTTAATTAAATCAACTAATCAAACTTGGAAAAGACATCATACCGACCGGGTGCTACGTTTACTCGACGTGCAACTATGGTAGAGTTATGGATACAGTATTGGCTAGAACAGATGCAGTGACACCAATGATCAATTTCTACATTCTGTCAACGATGTCACATTAATTTGTGCGTAGTCATGGATAGACTACAGTCATTAGCAAACATGTCCATTTCTATGTCCCACTTGGTGATTGCTAATAATCGCAGGATGACTAGCTTAGAAGAGGAATTTATTGATCAAGTTGGAGGTGTTGGATTTTATCCATCCTCGACTGTTGATTATTGATTGGGCCATTGGACTGGTTGGATGTCAGCCTGTCCTCTACTCTACAGTATCATGCATGTGATGGTGATAGTGTATTACACTGAATAAGCTTGCTCGCGAGTTGAAATTGGACGCTTCGAATATTGAGATTGGGGAAAAACAAGATCTGGAAACGAATGCAATGTACTTGTAGCACTGAATGGAGTATTTTACGATCACAACATTCTTCCAATCCATGATGGGTATTTAAGCTTGCAGATAGAGGAGAACATCTTACCTACGATTAAAATAGAAACCAATAGGGGAAGCTCTAGCAATCGCTGGCGTTATCAACCATTCCTCTGCAAGCGCTGGTGGTCCCGTGGATGCTTGCTTCAAGCTTGGTTGACAAGTCAAAAGATGCGAACGTGCGGTTTTGTTTTGTCTGGATAGAAAAGCGGTCAAAGCCCCCTTGTAGTCATATCCACTAGTCTAGTTACTGTCATAACAACCAATTGGGTATATTGTGATATATACAGTACTGTAGATACAAGGTTTTCTCTGTTGTTGCACCTTGTCTCTTTTTATGTAGCAGCCAACTACAAGACACCATAGGGCGATTGCACTCTACGGACTCCATTTCACTACTTTTAGACTTAAGGCGTAGGTATGTTCTGAAGCACAGCGCCATCGATCTCTTTTTATTTGAAGTCCGATTGGAAATTTCCAATGGCCTTGCCGCTGGTTGTCGGTGTCTTTCTAGTAGCCAGTCTGTCCGTCTGCACAGTAGACAGTCCAAGATCCTACCGTATCGTAGATGTCCGTCTCTCTTTCTCTCTTGCCAGAACTTCACAGAACACTGTACAGTACAGTGTAGGATGCAAAGTACTGCATAAATGACGAGTGTAAAGTACTGTACACTGTGTGGTCTCTGTACAGTGTACAGTACAGTACAGTGGGCAGTGGACAGTGGATAGCAGTGTAAAGTTTTGCTTGAACAACACCGGTGGCCACTTAGCAGCCAACTAGAAGAGACTCCATTACACACACTACTTTTAGACTTGAGGCGTAGGTATGTTCTGAGGCACAGCGCCATCGATCTCTTTTTATTTGGAGTCCGATTGGAAATTTCCAATGGCCTTGCCGCTGGTTGTCGGTGTCTTTCTAGTAGCCAGTCTGTCTGTCTGCACAGTAGACAGTCCAAGACCCTACCGTATCGTAGATGTCCGTCTCTCTTTCTCTCTTGCCAGAACTTCGCTGTACAGTGTAGGATGCAAAGTACTGCATAAATGACGAGTGTAAAGTACTGTACACTGTGTGGTCTCGTACGTACAGTGTACAGTGGGCAGTGGACAGTGGATAGTAGCGTAAAGTACTGCTTGAACAACACCAGTGGCCACGTAGTAAATGGCCGCAGGTCAAGGGACTCTGTCCTAACTGGATGAAAATATTCTCGTCATTTATTCATTAACAAGCTTATAACGTCTTTAAAATATTCTTGAAACTTGGTCGTCTCCACGCCTAGTTTGATTAGAATTGATAGCACCACGAGTGAGTGTTGATTGAATTCTATTTTACTACGACGCTTGACTAAATCATATGGGTGGATAGGCCTAAAAAGTCGCTCAAGTTCTTGACGTGTTGGTACGCGTGTTCAATAGTAGGTAAGCGTACTTACCATAACTGGATATTATTATGAATAGTAATTATTAATGACTGTGAATCAACGTAATCAATCGTACTATGAATTAAGTCAGCGATTCTTCCTTCTTTACCATAATTCTCCACGATATAGATTAGCTAAGCGTAGTACAAGATGTGGAATCGAATTAGTGAAGCTGCTAAAAATGCTCGTGGGATTGTGGAAGATTATACTCGTCCTCCTGATAATTCGTCTCTAGCGGATATCGAGTCTGGTGCTCATATGGCCAGTACGCCGCAAAAGGTAGACGGATAGATACTGTATAGGATAAGATAACTAGTTGGATAGCTGGAATAGTCTTCTTATTCAGATGACTACATAACTACAACATGAGTTTAAACTGACGATCAGTACTATAGTCTTAGTGAAAGCAATGAAGGATAAATACTAAAACAGGTTGGAATAGATCCAGTAAGTTGTACTTATTGCAATGACTTAAACAAGTCATACGATGATGCTTGATGTCATAGTTTGCGAATACTACAAAGTCTCATGATTGATGATATTATGTAGTCTAGATAATACGATACTGTAATTCAAAAGATTAGTCTCTCTACTCGTTTTGCAGTCCATCATCTTGCTTGATCGTGTATTTGCTTGGAATAAAATCAAAAATCAAACTAAGC